CTCCAAGAAGAAATGCATGGGTTGTGTAGATGTGCTGCGTAGCCACGCCCATCACTAGGTCTTATTTTCAGGGTAGGGCTTATATTGTGCAAATGCTTAGAAATCCTGCTAGGGCTTATTTTATGGGTAGGTCTTATTTTCGGGGAAACACGGTAGTTGTTAAATATCTTAAATATCACTCCTGCTTATTTTTATTTTTGCAGCATAGATTTCCTAAAGTAGGATTGCTTCATAAGAGTATGTGTAATTCAAATTTTAATGGATATTGCCATATTATCATATTTTATTATTCACATTTAACACCCATGAAATTGGGATGCATCTTACAATCAAAGGAAAGAAAGCACTGTGTCATAGTTTAATTGACAGTCTTTTTTCTTCCTTAGATAAAATAATGGTGCACCCTTCAATTGCTATCTTAGATTTTATAAAATACAGTATTATCCCATTGTAGCAATTCCCATACCCATTACTACTATAGGAGAGTTCTTATTTTTCAGCCTGCACCATGTATTATCACTGTTTTCAATCTTTTGTGTGAAAAATAAAATATACCATTTGCTTTAATTTAGATTCCCTGACTACTAGTGATGTTGAGATTTTAAAATATACTTATTGAACATTTGGATTTCTTTTTTTGTAAATTATTAATTTATATCCTTTTCCTGTTTTTTAAATTGTGTTTTTGTCTTTTTCCTATCAATTTACAAAATCTCTTATTATAGTATTGAACTTTTATCTATTATTTTTATTATAAGTATTTCCTTTTATATTGTTTGATTTTTCTTTGTTTATGATGATATTGCCATTCAAGTATTTAAAGTTTTCTACAATCAAATATATCAGTCTTTTTGGTTAGCACTTCTGCTTACGATATCTCTCCACTCTCAGGTTACACATGAGCTGTGAATTTTAAAGGATGTTCAGTTTAAATAAGTCTCTTTCTCATCCCTAATCCTGATTTTCCTAGTTCCTCTCACCAGAGACAACACTGATAACAGATTCTTTATTGCTTATAAGGAAATACTTCTTTCTATGTGTCTCCCTCACATACTTGTTTATAATAAAAAATGGTAGCAAACCATTCTTATTGTCTATTCTTATTTGTGTGTTTTTAAAACTTTCCTAATTTCCTACTGCATTCTATTGTCATACTTTATTAAACTTGTCTCCATTGTGTTTCATGATGTTAAAAATGCATCTCTACACTGAGACCCACTATGGCATTAGGCTTTTATAATATTCCTGCTCAGTAAACCCTTCCTTAAGTTGACATTAAAATAAGCCTCAATAAATTTAAAGTATTGAAATCACATGAAGTATGTTCTCTGGCCACATAGAACAAAAGTAGAAATCAATAACGGAAATTTAGGAAATTCACAAATATGTGGGAATTAAACAACACACTCTTAACCAATGAATCAAAGAAAAAAATCACAGGAGAAATTAGAAAGTATATTGAGAATAATGAAAATAAAAATACAATATACCAAAACAGATGAGATGTGGATAAAACTGTGCTAGGAGGAAATGTATAGCTATAAATACGTACATTTAAAAGAAGATTTTTGCATTAAAAAATCAATAACTTAACTACATTAAGAGGCTAAAAAAGAAGTGCAAACTAAATCCAAATTAAGCAGAAGAAAGAAAATAATAAGACTCATTAAAGATAATAAAAATAAATGATATAAAATAGAGAAAATTAATAAAACAAGATGTTGTTTCTTTCCTGCAACACAATTGAAAGCAACACAATTGAAAAACTTCTAACTTAACTAAAAAAAAAAAGAGAAAAGACTTGAATTACTATAATCAGGAATGAAAGAGGGGAAATTACTACTGACAGTATGTTACTTATAGCAACATGAAGGATGATAAGGGAACACTATGGAAAACTGCATACTACAACAAATTAGATAGCTTATATGAATAGACAAATTCTTAGAAAGACATAGAGTTCTGAAACTGACCTAAGAAGAAATAGATAATAGATCTCTAACAAGTAAAGAGATTGAGTTAGTAAAAAAAAAAAAGAAAAAAAAAAACCTCCCACAAAGAAAATCCAGAACCAGATGAGTTCATTGGTGAATTCTAACAACTTTTAAAGAAGAACCAGAAAAACACCATCACCAAGCTTTTACAAAATGGAGGAGGAAGGAACACTTCTGAAGTGATGCCATGAAATTGTTGTTACCTTCAAAACCAGAAAAAGACATCAAAAGAAAAGAAAACCACAGAGCAATATCCCTTATGAATCCAGTCACAAAAGTCCCTAACAAAATATTAGCACACAGAATCCTACAACATACAAAAATGATTATATACCATGACCAAATGGGATTTATCCCATGTATACAAGCTGATTGAACATATGAAAATTAATCAATGTAATACAGCATATTAATGGAATAAAAGACAAAGGACAAAACCACATAATCAATTATCTCAAAAGATGCCAAAAAGCATTTGGCAAAATCCAACTCCCTTTCATAATAAAAATGCTCAAAAAACTGGAAGTAGAAGGGAACTTCCTCAAACTGATAAAGGGCATCCATGAAAAACCCACAGAGAACATCATATTAAATAGTGAGAGCCTGGATTTTTTTGCTAGTAAGATCAGAAACAAGGTAAGAATATCCACTCTTGGCCAGGTGCGGTGGCTCATACCTATAATCCTAGCATCTTGGAAGGCCAAGGCAGGAGGATCGCCAGCAGTTCAAGTACAGCCTGGGCAACATAGTGAGACCCTGTCTCTACAAAAAATGAAAAATAATTAGCCTGGGGTGGTGGTGCATGTGCGCCTGAAGCAGGAGGATTGCTTGAGACCAGAAGTTCAAGGCTGCGGTGAACTATGCTTGCACCAGGCACTCTATCCTGGGCAATAGAGTGAGACACCCTGTCTCAAAAAAAAAAAAAAGGAATATCCACTCTTACCACTTCTGTTCAATATTATAGTGGAGGCTCTAGCCAGAGAAAAGAGAAAATAGGCAAGAAAAAGTAGTAACAGCTATAAAAGTAATAATTCTATCCAGATTAGAAAAGAAGTAAAACTAACTCTATTTGCAGATCACATGATCTTATATATAGAAAATTCTAAGGAATCCACTAGAAAATTATTAGAGCTAATACACAAGTTCAGCAAGGTTTCAGGATAAAAGATCAATTTTAAAAAATCAATTGCATTTTTCTATGCCTTAGCAACGAACAATTGAAAATGAAATTAAGAAAACAATTCCCTTAACATCAAAAAGAATAATATACTTAGGAATAAATTTTAAAAAAGAAGTGTAAGACCTGTACACTGAAAACCACAAAACACTGTTGAAAGAAACACCTAAATAACTGAAAAGACATCTCGTGTTCATGGACCAGAAAACATAATATTGTTAAGATGGTAATACTCCCCAAATGGATCTACAGATCCTAAATGTAAGAGCTAAACCTATAAAACTCTTATAAGAAAATACAAGAGTAAATCTTCATGACTTTGGATTAGGCAGTGGTTTTTTTTTTAGATATGACACCAAAAGCACAACTTTTGTGCTTCAAAGGACATTATCAAGAAAGTGAAAAAAACAGCCCATGGAATGAGAGAAAATATTTGCAAGTCTTATATCTGATAAGGGACTTGCACCAGGATGTATAAAGAACTCTTACAACTCAACAATAAAAAAAGAACCTGATTTAAAAATGGGCAAAGGCACAAAAAACAAGGGTGATCTAGCACCTCTTATATTATCCTGGATAGAGCTGGAGCCCATTCTACTAAGTGAAGTATGACAAGAATGGAAAAACAAGCACCACATGTACTCACCATCAAATTGGCATTAACAGATCAACACTTAAGTGCACATATAGTAGTAACATTCATTGGGTGTAGGGCAGATGGGAGGGGTGAGGGAGGGATGGGTATATTCATACCTAATGGGGGATAGACACACTTGAAGCTCTGACTCAGGTGGGGCAAAGGCAATATACATAACCTAAACATTTGTACCCTTATAATATGCTGGAAAAAATTTTAAATAGAAAAATAAATAATATAAGAAAGAAAAAAATAGGCAAAGGATTTGATTATACATTTCTCCAAAGAAGATATACAAATGGCCATGGGCAAGATATATAAATGGCCAACAGGCACATAGAAAAATGCTCAACATTATTAGTCATCAGGGAAATGCAAATCAAAACCACAATGAAATACCATTTCACATCCACCAGGATGGCCACAATAAAAATAAATGGGAATAAGCAGTGTTGGCAGGGATGTGGAGACATTGGAACTCTTATGCTGATGGGAATGTTTGGCAGCCTCTGTGGAACCATTCCAGCAATTCCACTCCTACGTATACACACCAGAAAATTGAAACATATAGCCACACAAAAACCTGCACACAAACGTTCACAGCAGCATTATTCATAATAAATCAAAAGTAGAAACAACTCAAATGTCTACCAACTATTGAATGAGTAAACAAAATGTGATATATCCATATAATTGAATATTATTGAACTATAACAATAAATGAAGTACTGATATATGCTAAGACATGGATCAACCTTGAAAGCATTAGGCTAGGGAGCCAGTTACAAAAGGCCACATACTGTATTATTTCATTTACATGAAATGTCCAGAACAGGCAAATTCATAGATACAGAAAGTAATTAGTGGTTGCTAGGGGATAGGGAGAGAGAGAACAATAGAGAATGATTGTTAATGAGGACAGAATTTCTTTTTGGGGTGATGAATATTTTCTGAAATTAGATAGTGGTGATGGTTACATAACTCTTAAAAAATCACTAATAACCGATGAATCATACCCATTAAAAGGGTGAATTTTATGTTATGTCAATTATATCTCAATAAAGCTTTTTTTTTTTCTTCAATGGCTTCTGGTTTTGACCCCTGGGCCACAGTTTACCAACCCTCTGTTGTAGACCAATATTTACTGCCTCTAAAGAAAGACCATCCAATATATATATAATTTCCCCCTAAGGCTACAAAAAAGAAAAAAAATTAACATTAAGCAGTTTGTTTTCCTTCCAAAATGTATATAGCATAGTAGTAAAGATTATGAATTCTGGAACCACTTGACTAGGTTTAAATCTCAGATCTGTCATTAATTAGCTGTGTGTTCTTGGGATCATACTAACACCCACCTTCTGGAGTTGATGTAAGGATGAATAGTGTCCCCCATCTAGGGTTGTCGCAAAGACAAAAGCGTTGTTCAGAACAGTGCCTGGCACACCATAAGCACTCAGTGAGTGTCGGCTATTTTCCCTATTCACTCCGATTAGTAAACAGCCTGAGTAATTTAATAAGGTGATTTTTACTTGGGGTTCAAAAGTTTTGGTCACAACCAACATCTTAACAAGAATGTCCTTTGCTCTGTACCACCCAGGTCACTCTCAGATCATGAGGCTGGCAGCAAGGAAAATGAGGACGGATTATTAATATACACCAGAAAATACATTATCTCTAGGAACTATTGTTAACACCCTGAAAGGCTTTTCTTTTTCAATATCTGAAATACATTGTAGGAAATTAATTGGTTTTCTCAATCTCATTTCTAGTGTCAGCTGTGACATCACAAAGCAAGCACCCAGATGGCACCAACTGAACCTTTTATCAGCATTTGTAGTACTGATGCCAAAAGGAAATGGGCCCGGCAGCCTGATCAAAATTGTCATGCTAACGGGTAGATCCTTGGAAATGAAGTTGGCAGAAAATCAATAAATTATCAGGTAACATTCTTCTAACAAAAGTTTTATCAGTTTTAAGTAAAATAAGAAAATTGCAAAGAGTAAATCTCAGGCCTGAAGAGGAATGTAAGCTAGAACATGGCATGGACTTAACAACGGAGAAATCATTTCTGAAAAAAGAAATTCAAAAGGGAATTTGTAAACCCAAGTTAGCTTTCTATTTTTTTTTAGTTAAAAAATGAGATTTTCAGGAAAAGTTAATATTTTAAAGCAACTTTAGCTTTCACTTAAAAAGCAATACAAAATTCCAATGATTTTAGTCTTTTGTCCTCTGTGGAAGGCCCACTGGGAGGTATTCAATTTTTCATTGTTATCACTAAGACGTTGTCTGATCCACACACTCCTTTTTGTTCTTTCTGCAGCTCTTAGCCATCTGTCATGTCTTCTAGAGAGCCTCATAAACACATTTAGGTTAAACCATATGGTCATAAAACCTGTCATTCTGTCATAGTCAAGGTCTGCCTGTTTTTTTTAATAGAAATGCACTTGACCATTTTTACTTTACTTTAAAAGCTTCATCCTAATCCTGGAACCAAACTTCAGCCTGGCAATAAATCAGCTCTCAGCATGTATCTATGTAAAGTAAAATATCTGAATAATAGATACTTTGAAGTGGCCACATTTTCTCATTAATTTTGCTTAAATTCTATGATAAATGCCCTTTGAGCCATTAGTCATGTTGGCCTCTTCAATTTTTGACTTCTTCACTTTCAAATTCCTTTTCCTTCAATTGTCTTTAACCCCTCACTCCCATGTGTATATAGCCTGGGTTTGTCATCATCAAAACTGTACCACCTCTAAAATCTTACGTGTAGCAGCCCACGTCTAGCTCGCCAACTCCAGGATGACAATGCAATCATTTTTCTATCTTATCAAGACCTTCAATCCATTGACTACCACTTTTCCACTATCCATCACCTCCCTCATGTCTTGACTTTCTTCCTTACCCAGTTTAAAGTTCATGCTCTATTAATATATAACCACATTCATTGAAAGCATCCTAGTTCCATAACCCTTCCTCCCCTTGGACTCACCTAACAAAGCCCTATCCCTGCTTAAATCTCACCATCTATTAATACTTCCTCTCTCCCCGTCCCCAAGCATCTGATGAGAAAACCCATGAGGCTGACTGGTATCATTTTAAATTTACAGTCATAAAACTCAAGAGTACCAAACCCTACTCAGTAATCTTCCTTTGCTGCTTTAGAATGTTCTCTCCAAAATTACCCTGTCATCCCCTCTCAACCTTTTTCTTCCTCTCTCTGGGACCTCCTGGCTCCCCAGTATTAATATGGCAAAAAATTCTTTTTTTTTTTTTTTGAGATGGGGTCTTGCTCTCTCACCCAGGGTGGGCTCAAGTGATCCTCCCACTTCAGCCTCCCTAGTAGCTGGGCCAATAGGTGCACACTACCACGCCTGGCTAATTAAAAAATATAAATTTGTAGTGGCAAATCTCACTTGTTGCCCAGGATGGTTTCAACTCCTGGCCTCAAGTGATCCTCCTACCTTGGCCTCCTGCAATGCTGGGATTACAGGCAAGAGCCACCATGCCCAGCCAAAATCTTCTATTAAACAACAAATACACTCCCTAGTCTTCACATCTTTCTCCAGCTACTGCCTCATTTTTCTTCCTCCTTTCACCTCTCCCCTCCCTTTTTCTCCTCAATCCACCATCTTTGGATTGTTGCTCCCACCATTTTGATGCATCTGTTCTTGCAAAGGTCACCAATGATCTCTATGTTGTCAAATCTAATGGTCAGCTTCTCTGCCATATTGTATTTGATCTCCCAGAAGCAACTGAGACAATAGATACAATTAACACTCCTTCTTCTATGACATTCTTTTTTCCCAGGTTTCGGGGACATCTCCATCTCTTGGTTTTCCTTCTGCCTCTGACCACTCTGTCTGGGTCTTCTCTGCTAGATCCTCTTCCTCTTCTTGACTTCTAAATGTTGGTGTGTCCACAGCCCAGGGATCTTCTCTTTACATTCACTCCCAAGACAATCTCCTCTCATCATCTGTCAATACTAAATAAAATATGCAGAGATGAATCTACAAGCAAAGGGTTTTCAGAGCAATACACAGAAAGCAGAATTGCAATCAGGGCATGCACACAGAGCCCAGAGCAGTTTCAGTGTGTCCAAAGAACAAAGGAAATAGCTGGGGTTTTATTGCTAAAGGAGAAAGGATTATGTAAGTTTTTTTTTTTGGAAAGAAAGTTAATTGGCGCTAGCAGAGGAGCTCTGATAGGCAAGTGGCAGCAATTGTAAATACTGGGTAAAGGTTGTCTTAAAGCCACAGCAAGCTATTTCGCTGGATTGCATTTGGGAGACAGTTTTTGGAACAAGTGCTTGTACCCTAAGCACTTTTCCCCAATGGCCTCTCAACTCCATTTTAGTTGGGTATGATAGGAATGACTCCAAATCAACTTTCACACATCTATAATTTATATGACCCTAGACCCACCTCGTCCCCAAACTCTAGACTGTTTACTTGACATCAAACCATCAGCAAGTTCAGTCAACTCTCCTACCTTCAAGATGTATCCAAAACGTATCACATTGTCTTTGTTTCCATTCTTGTGCCACCAATCCAGCCACTGTGTCTACACTTGTACACTTGTTTACACTATCACAGTGGCAACCTAATTGGTCTCCAGCGTTTCTTTCTTGACTCTCAACAGCAGCCAGATTGATCTTTTAAAAATGAAATCTTTCTGCCATTTTTCTGCTTAAATTTCTCCAGTGGCTTTTGTCACATTCAGAAAAAAATAGAAATTCCTCCCAGCTCACAAAATTTCACATCTGGCCTCAGATAGCTCTTGATCCCATCTCCTACCACCCTCCCCTTTCCCTCTAGTCTCCAACCTCACTGGCCCGGTTTCTGTTCCTGGAACATTCCAAACTCTTTCCTGCCTTAGGGTGTTGGCACTAGCCATTCCCTCTCCCTGGAATATTCTCTCCTCCGATCTGTGTACAGCTGGCAAAATTTGTGTGGTTAAAACCTGAGCTTTTAAAAACAAAACCAAACCAAAACAAAACCAAAACCTGAGCTTAAATGTTTGTAATTCTTAGGAAACTCAACTATAAGAAATATGAGTAAAGTTCTCATAGTTGCTGGATGCTTTATCTACTAAATATAAACATAGGTAAGCTTTTTGTCCTCTAAGTATTGTTTCAGCATTTTGACTTTTGAAAATTATAAAATTCTTCCAGAATTTAAGCATACAATATTTCATTAAATTGTCACTTAAAGGTAGAAAATGGTGTCCTAGAAATTGTGTCCACCAGTGCCTGGAGAACTGTGCGAGGCCATAGTACTGCACAGCCAGACCTTGCTATGTGATTGTGGATCGAGTGCCTCCATCTTTGTGAACAGGAGCTTCCCTGCCTGGAAAGTAGACACAATTACCCCTTTCTTAAAACAAGAAATGTGCATGTCTGTATGTGCATCTGTGTGTTGGATAACAAAGGAATTAAATATGTCTTCAATCTATGCAGTAATTTTTTCTCTTAGAAAAACACATAACCAAGTCATGCACTCAGCACTGCCTTCTGAAATTTCTTCTTGAGCTTGTAAGTTGTCTTTATAGGAGGATGTATATTAGATAATTTTTATGCAATTCCTTGTGAAAATAAATACACCTGTCTTCACAAATGATAAATTGATGAAAAAAATGATTCAAAAACAAGAGGAGAGCAAGTAGGTGAGCAGTGGGGTGGGAAAGCATCGGCATGGTGGGTGGGGTGGTTGTTTACTGGGCTGACGACACATCTGGTATCCTCAGCTCTCAGAATAGTAAATGCTAGGAGCCACCCCTCCCACCCCCTAGTTATTGTGCCAAGCACAAACGCCCACACATTTCCAGTCACCCTCTGGAATGCCTGAGCATTAATAAATGGCACAGCCATTATCTTGGTGCTTTGTATTTTACAGCAAATGTAACGTCAATGTGAAATTTGCTAAAGAGACAATTCATACAGTACTTTTATCCCCAATGTTTTTATGTTATATTAGTAGCCTTTTAGCTTAATGCTTTTGTGCCATGAAAGCCAATTCTGGAACACAGTAAGTGTGTTAAGTGAGGAATTGGTATGGAGATCTAAACCTAGCAAATGGAACTGGAGAGAGGGATCCTTTTTGATAATCAGTTTGGAGACAAATTGCCACATCAATGTTCAACAATATAATTACTGCACTGGAGGCCATTATCACCTTTTTCCTTACTAAGAGAGTACAATTAAAATTTGGGATCTCTATGTTTTTCTTGAAAGAGTGAATTTAGGAAGTCAAATAAACAATTTTCTTAGCAATTACCAGGAAGCAGCGTACTAGTATGATATTACACCCTCGGAGGACACTGTGATAGACCGGTGTGGTTAAGTAGCTTTCAAAATGGCTCCTGGTGCTTCCTGCCTCCCGGTATTCACACCCTTGGTAACCCCCTGCTCTTCAGTATAGATGGGACCAAGCAACTTGCTTCTAATGGAAAGAATAAGGGAAAATGATGGGATATCACTTCTGAAATTCAGTTCCAAAAAACTGGGACTTCTGTCTTGCTCTTTCTCTCTGGCTTTTCTCAGCCTGCTCACTCTTGTGAGGCAAGCTGCCATTGTGAGCTTCCCTGTGGAAAGGCCCATTTGTCAAGGAACTGAGTCATCAGTCCAACAACCCATGAGAAGAGTCCTGCCAACAACCATGTGAGTGAGCTTACATATGGATCATTCTCTGGCCAACACCATGATACAGCCTGTGAGAGACCCTGTAGCAGAAGACCTAGCCAGACCCTGACTCACAGAAATGGTGACATAGGAATCCTTTGTTGTTTTAAGCCACTAAATTTGGGGATAATCTGTCACACAGCAATACATAATTAATATACCCAGTTTGCTCTAAACAATAGGAAACACTTGTGTGATTCACGCTTTACAGTCTTTAAGACTGAAAAGCACTCAGATTTATATATTTGAATAAAGAGCAAGGTAGGACTAAATATAATGTTCAGCTTCCTGAACATCTCTGGCAGAAAATCCCCCAAACGTTATATGGCAGGATGGCATAGAAGAAAGACCATCTAGGGATGCAAACTGTATAGTCATTTTCACTTACTCTAAAAATTTGAGCAAGTTGTGTAACTTCTCTGGAATTCGGTTTCTTCATTAAAAAGCTGGTGATGATGGCCGGATGCAGGGGTTCACGCCTGTAATCCTAGCACTCTGGGAGGCCAAGGCGGGAGGATTGCTTGAGACCAGAAGTTTGAGACTTGCCTGAGGAAGAGCAAGACCTTGTCTCTACAAAATATACAAATATTAGCCAGGTGTGGTGGTGCACACCTGTAGTTCCAGCTACTTGGGAGGCTGAGGCACAATGATTGCTTGGGCCCAAGAGGTTGCAGTGAGCTATGATGATGCTACTACCCTCTAGCTTGGGTAACAGAGTGAGAGTGTGTCTCAAACAAAATAAAATAAAACAAAACAAAACAAAACAAAACCCTGGTGATGGGATTGGCCTAGACTGTAAGAACTGCTAACATTCTATGATGCTGTGATTTAGGGAACGCAGACAGGTCCCACCCTCAAAATCTCTTTCTCATTTGCTGGAATCTCCATTATTAGGAATTTGTTCCTGAGTGCTTCCAGGGACTGTCCCTGAGGTTACTACTCAAGGGGAGAAATTTTGGATAGTGAGATGGATGGAGAAGGAAATTCTATGGATACCTTTGTAGTACAGAAAGATAGGTTCTTATGTTGCTATGAAACCCCTGAAGTGTAGTGGAGACAGAGACAAAGATAACCATGGTTGATTTCACGAGGTTGAGGACCTAGTAGGCTTCCTCCTTTCTGATATATGTGAACTGTATAACTGATCATATTTCCCCTCTTACTTCGGCTGCAAGGCAGCTCAAAGTGAAACTCAAGTTCAGTCATAGCCACTATGTTAAATTTTATGGGTCTTGTATTTATTGGTATTCTTTCTCCCTGTCCTAATTCATCTACTTCTAGTTTACCCCATGTTTTTTGTTATAAGTCAGCTCAAATCATTCATGGAAAAAGTTGGGGGCAAAAATAAATATAATAGACACAAACATACATATTTAATTTTTCCCCTCTAATTGTAAAGTACAAACAGAAATAGAAAATCTGGAGATACACTTTTATCTTGACTATTTTCAAAATTTAAAGTTAATATGGTTTGGGGAGGAGACAAAGATTTAAATTGGTATAATTTGTAAAAAGTGTAAATTGGAAAAATTAAAGAAAACACAAGTAGCAACAATGTTTGTACCGCTTTTATTTGTAAAAATAACCATCTGAATGCATTTCCATAGTATATTTCAGTTAAGTACTTCATTACATTATTAGAGCATTCAGTAGTTGCAAAAGTATTAAACTGTGCTTGAGAAGATTCAGATTGGTTCAAAGTCATTCACTGAACTAAAAGTCATTTTCCTCATTTTTACAATCATGACATTTACCAGAGTCATTCAACTCCAATTTACATAAAAAACATTATAGACAAATCCCACTGAAATCATCAAACAATATTTTATGCTGTTACAAATATGTTATGCAAAATATAACACTGGCACCAGATTTGTATCATCGTGCTTTGCAAATATATATTGCACATGCTAAAGCATAAAATATGTAGACAAAACTACCAAACAAAAGATATTTGCATTGAACTTTTAGATCACTGCATAAGAAACGCATAGAATTACATTTTATACAAACACTCAGATTGTCACTATTTTAAAACGCTTTTCCCCTATAATACTGACCTATGGTTTACAGTTTTGTAAGAAGAAAGCATTTTAGCACTGCAAAATCCAACATAATTCCTATAGAAAACTTCAGCATTTTCATATTCATTTCAATGCAAGTAAAAGGGGAAATAGGAAAAAAGACACTTTATACATTCAAAGAAAGGTTGAAATGAAAACTCACTGGTATCATATTGCTCTGATAACACTCAAATGAAAAAATACAAAACATTTCACAGAACATTTTCAGAATATACAAATATAAAAAGGCACTCTAACTTCATATTACAAGACAAAAAAGGGATGAGTTCTTCAACTAACGCAACAGATAAGCACATCAAGTTGCTCAACAGTACAAAGAATAACTAGTGCAGCAAATTCATTTGATGTTCTTGTTCTAATTTAATAATAAAATAATAAATGAAGCAGTGTTTACTGCCTAAAGTACCAAAACATACTATGGTGCCCTTTTAGTAGTGATAAATAGAAATCCCCTGAGCTATTTACTGTAGAATCATAGCAGATTTTAGGCAATTTGGAGATAGTAATGTATTTACCAAAGATAGACAGACACTGGCGAATAGGTAAGTGCAATGAAACATGATCCCTGTGATTGTGGTTAAAATACAGTCTAAAAATAACACATGTAGGTAAAAGCACTAAGCAAGTAAGACACAATGAAAAAACACAACAGTTTTCTGGTTTTTTTTTTTCTTAGAAGGCTATGTTACAAACATAATTTTATTTTTAGGAGACATAGTCAAAACACACAGAAATTATAGTTTCTAAAGTCATTGTTTAAAGAAAAAAATTTGGTCTTGGGGGGAGGGAGAAATAGAGAAAGAGAGGGGTAGATAGAGAGAGAGATCGAGTGATTCATTGTGAGCATGATTTCATTTTGTTCCTTTGTCCTCTTCCTATCCATAAGAGAGAAAAGTCAAAGTGCAGCTCCGTGGAGATAACGTCCCATGGTTGGTTGCTGCTGTGCTGAAAGGATCCTTGCACTCTCTGCTACTCTACAGGAAACATGTTAACGCTGCTTCACCATTAACGCAGGCGTTGTTATTTCCTGCTTTAAATGCCAACGGAGCAAGATTTCCATTCACTTCTAGAAAAAGACACCGCAGTATATTGTGCTTCTTCAACATTGGATCTCCCTTATTTTCAGCGTTTTGGTAAAGATAAGGTCATTATTGCTCATTAGCACTTTACTTTTTAAAAAATTCATCTTCTCTAAATAAACAAAAAGGACAAAGGAGGAAGGAAATACAACACCAAAGAATTTTTTTAAAAAATGGTGGTCGTGTTGAAACTTGTCAATGAAATTAATACCAGTTCTTAAGTCCTTTGAACAAGTTCTCATTTGTGAAGAATCCAACATGAGTTTTAATTAAATCCAGGATATTAAAAGAGATTAAAGTTTTTTTACAGCTAGATGAAAAATATAATACAGTATCTGTATTTGATCCAGATATGACAGAACACTGTTTTAAAAATCTCTCACATACACTATGAATAGAAATTTCCAGGATGAAAATGAAAACCCATTATAAAATGTGGGAGAGGACTGTCCTAATTCAACATATTTCTTTCCTGTCTCTTTCTCAAGTGGAAAATAGCACTTGAGCTGGTGATTTTTATTTCTCCTCTTAGCACACGTGCCCACACAATGACATCATTTCCCATTGGGTTACTGGGACCATGTGAAATTTTCAGTGTAGTTAGGGTAATTTCTGGATCTTTCGTTGGGCCACCTTTGTGTATATGATCCACTGCACATTTCAGTCTTCATCTCGCAGAAGAGAATACCAACTGCAATGTTTTTTAAGCTCTAAGCTGGCTACAGTCTGGGGTTGAGTGATGGATGTTGTACCCTCGATAACCAAAACGGAAGAGCCTGAGGGTCCAATGGAAACCTTAGCAGTGGAAATTCTGGGTCTGGCCTCAGAGCTGTTGGCTAGCCCAGGGTCAAGTGTGTTTTTCCACTTTTCTGTTATTCCAAATAAGACACATAGCAATTAAACAATGGATGTTTCCTTGGTATTTGTTTCATTTCAAATAAATATAAACACATTCACATCAAAAGTATATGGACATTTTCTGTAGTTTGGCAAAAAAATAAATCGTGGTCGACACATTATCAATTACAAATGTTAAGCTGTCAACTAGAAATATGTGTTATAAGAAATATAAAATACAACAAAGACTGGTACACCAAAAAGATTACATTTTAACTCCATAGAAAAGCTACTTCAGTTCTCATTTGCATTTTGAAAGAAAAAAATTTAAATCTTCCATTTTAGACTGAAGCATTTTGGTCCTCATGGATAGCTGGTTGATGAACTACATACATACTTATATATATATACATATGCACATACGTGTATATATGTGCATACTTTTTAAACAGTCTCATTCTTCTTTTTGTACAGCTGTTCCAGGTGTGGAACGGGGTCCATTTGACCTAGAAGCTTTGGCAGAAGGAGTAGACACAGTATTCACTATGTGGATTCATCATCAAACAACTGGCAATTGGCTTTATTTCTATATCACCCGTTTCTACTTTCTGCTTTTACTTTCTTTGTTTCCGTTTGCAGTTACACTTTCACTCACTTGGCATGACCTTGACTAAGAAGCTCATTAACCTTTTACTATTAATGAACAATGCTGATGATTCTGGTTTAAAAAAAGTTAGTATTTTGATTTAAGAAAGAATTAACAAGGGGCAATTTAATGGTAAATATGCATATTGTCTCAAAGTTTTGATGCAATATAATTTTCATCTGAAATGTTATTAGATAGATTTGGGTTCAATCACTTGGGTGAAGATTAGTTACAAGCTTGTTGTGGGGAACATTGGGTTCTATATTTGTGTTAAATGAAAAAAAGTTCGGTTTTTCAATTCATCTGGCAACTTTAACAAAGATCCTCAGAAAGAAGTTCTGGATATTTAAGTGTTTGCTACAGACAGGATATGAATAGTTGGATTTCCTTAAGAAGATTATTACAGGCATTATTTCTGAAGATGAACACCTTTACCTTTGGCTTCTAGTGAGGACGTAAACATCAAAGTGAGAAGAGGTTTGAGGTGTTTCCTATCTACCTCTTCCCTCCCCTCCCAGGGGATCTGAATGCCGCATTGATATACTTCTAAGAACTCACTACTGAGTACGTGAAAAAAAATTCTTTATAGCGAACAGTTGCCTCTTGGTTGCATTATCCCCAAAGAAAAGGAATTAAACACATTTTTTATTCCTTACTTAAAATGAGAGGTAGACTTTCACAGAAGTACCTTAGATCTAAGGAAAACATGAACCAAAACAAAATTGGAGCTCATCTGTGAGAGTGTTTCACCCAACAGCCTCTCTGCCCTCCCTTGGTTCGATTAATTCCTTCTCTACTGGCTTCTGGAAGCCTGAGCCCCATATAATACTTGAACACAACATAAACCTGGAATTCAAGCTTCTTTCCCTTCCTCCAACACAGGTGATCAAGGAAAAGCTTCTACAGTCCAAAGTCAAAATGTTTCCGAATCAGAATCGTTTTCATTGTACCCATCCTCCGAGCCTACGTTGTTACTGCACAGGCTAACCATGCTACCCAGGTTGGACAGGGTTGTCCTGCTCAAATTGTCTTTTTTTAAACAAACGAAGTTGACAGCCGTCATTGTACCGGAAGGAGAAAAAGGCATCATGGTAGCCAAAATGAGGGCCAGGCAGTCAGCCACGTCTTTGTTAGGAGCGCAAGCCAGGGCCGGGGTATGACCTGGGCGTAAATGCAGACAAGGCAGTGGTTAGTCCGGGGGGTGGTCCAGAGGCGGCGCGAGCATTCCACACTACATCTCACGGATCACAGAAGCGGAGATGTATGTCGAGTTAGCAATCATGCGGGGGTAAAACGGACAGTCACTCCACAAATCATGCTTGGGGTGAGGCTAGAGGGGAGAGGGAGGGGGAGACGTTCTATGGAGGGCTTTTTGGTTTTGTTTTTTCCAGCTCACATTGACTACAGCAAGCACCATATCATCCAAAGTTAGGCAGAATTCCAGCCTTCATCTAGTGAACAGAAACACAGGGGGGCGGGTGTGGGACACAATACCACAAAAAACAGCAACAGGACGACGGGAGGATGTTTCCACTCGAGAGCACACGCACACCATGAGCCTCAGGCCTGGGCCTGAGTAGGACTCTCATTCTGAGAACAATGACTTTGCATTGTTAGCTAACTGTGTGTCAGGTTGGAAAGGATATTGGAAATTACATGACTATAAAAGTGAGTAATGTAGTTATGTCACTTTATATATACACTATATACAGCACATACACCAATAAACTGGTTTTAGAAAAATGGAATCATTTGAGTAGATCAGATACAGGAAGGCATTGGTTGTGGTTAAAAATTTACTATCATTTAAGAGAAATTTAACAGAATATTAAGAAATAGCCACCCCATCAAGCAAATCTGAATCTGAAATGTAACAGATGTAAGAAAATGACAAGGCTTGCCATGATTAGAGTCGTGTTATTCTCTACTACGTAGACTTGATGTGTCTAGTCCAGAAGAGAAAACTGCCTCAATGCATAAAACAGCTGTATCTTGGGGAGGTCAATTAATAATTCTTTGACTTAATTGTTGCCTGTATCCACCCTTTTTTCCACTGGCCTGAAAGGGTCGGCCAGAGTTCCTACCACCCAATGAGTAGTGTCCTCACTCAGTCACTGAGAGGAACCGGCTCAACGAAACTGAACACTTTGTTGTTTTGTCGTCACGTGACCTGCTTTCCCTGCCCTGCCCTTTAAGAGATTCTTCTTCCCTTTGGTGTGAAAACGAACAGGAATGGACAGGTATTTTAGCATTCCATTCCACAAAGGTGAGGAGTAAAGGAATTCCGATTGTAGCACCGTACAAAATCGTCCCCACATGCCCCCAGGCCTGTGGGATGCAGCTAAGCTCTGAGACAGGCCGCAGCTCCACTGACCCAGGGTTCTTGTGACTGAGGTTGCTATAGGCTGGACAAACCTCAGATGCAGCAGATTTACACCAGAGAAAGGCAAAACTAATTTATTCTGTTCTCTTTGGTTATTTTGGAGAAAAATTGTGGGCCTCTGCATGCCAACCCTAAGGTATATTATGGGGATAAGAGGGTGAGGGAAGGTGAGGCAGGAAAATCAAAGAGATGGGGTAAGAGAGAACTTTCTGCACTTCCTAGATGAGTCAGGTTGGGGACAGAGCAGGGTGCATGCTAGGATACATGGGGCTGCAAAACCAACACTAATAAAAGTTAGCTAAGGATGTCAGTATGGCTGCTTACTTCTGAGAAATAGGCATGAGCTGCTAATTCCAATACCTGTAATAAGCAGTTAATTGAGTTATATTAATACATTATAATGCTTTAATTAAATGCCACATTTAAAAAATTACTTAATCATAAATATCCAGAAGTTCCTTCTTTGCTCCCCAAGGTTAATAGGCATTCTGCTTAAAATGGCAGTTTAGTACAATTCTAGTATTCATTAGCTTTCAAAATTTCTTAGGAAGCAGAGTAGAAAGCTTCTGTTAAGAATTAGTTCATTTAGAAAAGAAACATTATATAGATCAGGAGAAGCTTTCAAGTGTAGACATTAGTTAAGAAATTTTTTTCTTATTCTCCAAATTTCCAAATAAGGAATATGAGTTCTGATCTGTACTTTAAAAAGAAAGAAAGGTTTGATCTCAGAATGAACTGAAATACGATCAAAGACTTAGGTTTTTATTTGAGCCCTTGAGCATGCACTAATGACATGTGTAATCCCTAACTCTTCAGCATACACGGTTAGAATTTTGAATGCCAAGTTGAAAGGTTTTTGGTGTGTCTAAGATAGTTTAACCACCACGCTGAGGAGTTAGAGACCAGCTGCTGACATTACATGCACAATGGACAGCACTGGTGTGCTACAGGTAGACTGTGATTTACAAAAAGACAGACAGGATGAATTATCCTTGTTTGATTTCTCACACACAAAGAACTTCCCAGGAGGAGAGAATTCTCACTGCCTTTTCAACTAGCTCCTCTCTTTCTTATTTTCCTCTGGCTTAACCAGCATATGGAAGGAACCTGCAGTGACTGTTTACTTTTACCACTTACCATTTTCATCTACAGCCAGGACACAGGCCCCTTTGGCCAGCAACTCCTCAACTACCACCTTCAAGCCATTGCGTGCAGCGACATGGAGGGGTCTAAAAAACACAAGACCAAGCATCAGTTGTGATACGTATTTGTGTGAGAATGTAGCATTTTGGTTAGCCCATGTCACTAAAGGGAAGAAGTACTTAAGAAGCTACAAATAGTATGTGGATAATTTTACTGTTTAAAAAAGGTATTTGTTGACTAGATCTTCTCCAGGTGCTAATGATCCTACTGTTCTTACACGTTTGGCCCAGGTTTCTCTGCAGATATTATAAATATTCTGCATCTCAAACAATCTCAATGACAGTACATAGGAAGACAGAGGAAGAACTCAAGCTCTTGGGTGCTTTGCAGAAGGTTCGATAATCACTTGATTTCTACTGCGGCATTTGAATCACTGTTTCCCACAGTTAGGTCATCAGTAAGACTGGCATTAATATCATCCCCATTTATAGACTCCCAAAACTTTTTGTTATTACTAAATGCACACAGATGTTTTACTGAATTTATAATACCTTAAAGAATAATGTCAAACTCAGTATATTTTGCTATATAATGCATAAGAATCTTAAATGAGGTCAGGCACGTAGGCTCATGCCTATAATCTTAGCACTCTGAGAGGCTGAGGCAGGAGGATTGCTTGAATTCAGGAATTCAAGATCAGCCTGAGCAACAGCGAGACCCCATCTCTACTAAAAATAGAAAAATTAACCAGGCATCTTGGTGCGTGGCCTGTAGCTACAGCTACTTGGGGAGGTTGAGGCAGGAAAGATCACTTGAGCCCAGGTGTTTGAGGTTACAGTGAGCTACAATGATGCCACTACACTCTAGTTGGGGCAACAGAGGGAGATTCTGTCTCAAAAGAAAAAAAAAAGAATCTTAAATGAAAAAAAAAAAAAAAGCCTAATATTTCTTTGCCTTTAAAACAAATGCATAAGTAATTTCCTAAAATGGAAACCGAAGCAGCTTTTAGATCTTTCACACTGAGGATTACACTGAATGATATTAAAATATAATTAAGACAAATAGCTTAGAAACTCTTCAAATGTATTCTGGGAACCTGATTTATAAAACTGTCATTTTTCAGTCAGAATACATAATGCTAATGCATAATACAAATAGTTTCCCCAAATATGTCAGTCTGTAAGCCCTTAAGATTTTTCTAACAGCCCACTAAATTTATAATGTTACCCCAGGAACATCAGCAAAGAAAAACACAGATTTCACAAAATTCTATGAAGACGTATCAAAATAATGATTCTAACTAAAACTGTCTAGCTTGATCAGCATTTGTAGGTAAGTGACTGTCAACTTTATTCAGGGAAAGCCAGGTCTGCATCTCTCACCACAGTGTTTCCCAGAGCTTGCCTGGCATTTAGTAGGCTCTTAATATTTATTTAACAAACAACTATGACTTGGGGTCTCAGTCAAACTTTAGTAGTTACACTTACGTCTGCAGTGCATTATTTTTTGCGTTAATAAGGCTCTCATCTTGTATCTTGTCAAGTATTAACAAGGCACATTTTTCATGACCCTAATAAAGAAAAAGAATAAGAAACATGGGACATAGAAAAGTTTCTGAAAAATTACTTCATTATGCTTTAAATTGAAAATAAATTTCCTCTGCCTAAAAATATTCTATAAGACTATTTCCTGAGTAATTTTTTTCTTCTAAAAAGCAAATTGGACCCACATACTCTGAGCTTCTGAATAAGGTCTGTTAGGACTTGGTTGACATAAGTCTGATCTAAAATATTAATATTTCTAAGATAAATTTTAGAATTAATGTCCAGAGAGCTAAAGCAGATGCTAGTTTAGCTAGGTCAGCTGGTAAATAGGAAGCATCCTTTAAGTCCTTCAACATTACTTTTTAAACATACATAAAAAGTCCCACCTCCTATCTCAAGCCTTCAATTAACATTTCAGTGAAACATTTATCCTTAGAAATTCCCATTACACCTATTATCTGTGTCACTCACCATCGTTTATTATTGCCTTATATTGTGAAGAGGCCCTATTTCAGGAAAGCTAATTCTTTTCTTCCTCAACAAGGGGAAGATATCTCTCTGTATCTTATGACAATAGATGGTTGCTCATTTTTGAAAATGAATCGGTAAGTCAGAGATCCTTTCATGATTTCAAGCCTGAAGCACTTTTAAGGGGTCATGGCTTCCTAAGCCCTTGCTAAGCAACATGTGACCCAAAGACCAGCAGCAGCAGCTATTTCCTGAGAATTAGAAATGTTGAATCTCAGACCCCACCCCAGAACTAATAAATCAGAATCTGTAATTTCACAAAATTCCCAGGTGATTCATTAGCACAATAAAATTTAAGAAGCATTGCCCTTGTATTCACTAAAATACTACGCCTCGAAATAAATTGCATAAGACCGAGCACTTTTGTGTTTTCCATGGGCTTCCCAGAGTATGAAGTGAGAAAATGCAAGCAATGAAAGGAATGGCTGAGACTTTTAACACCAATGGGTATAGGGTAACACCTTTAATATTTTAAGTATGTTGAAATAAATCACCATCATTTTACCAACTGACTTCATGCTGTAATTCCTCATATAGGAGACCCTTAAGCATGATTTTAGAAATATCCATGGAGGTTTCATTCTGATGTGCTGCTGGTAGAGTGTAAGCTGTTTTCCCTTTATTAAAGGGCAATTTGGTGCTAAAAATGTTTGTATCCTTAGACTCAATAATTTTACATTTAGGAATTTATCTTAAAGGAATGAGTAAGGATTCCTAAAAAAAAGATTTCTCTACAATAAGCCTTATTTGTATATACAGCTTGGGCATCCCAACTTTGAACCTTTAAAATCCAAATGCTCCAAAATACAAAACTTTTGGGCATCAACATGGCACTCAAAGGGAACACTCATTGGAGCCTTTTGGATTTTGGATTTTTAGGGATGCTCAATAGGTATAATGCAAATACTGCAAAATCTGAAATCCAAAACACTTCTGGCCCCAGGCATTTCATGTACTGAACCTTCAGTAGCATATATTTGAAAATAAGCTATATGTCTAATAATAGAAGATGGGTTGAATAAAGGATGACACATTCCTAAGGTGGAACATCATACCTCTTCTAAAACACCATAAAATATGATGTCTAAAAGAAAGATATTCATAATATATGACTTAGTAATAAAACCAAGTTATAAAACAGTTTGTACCCACTTTTGTAAAATCACATATATGTATGTATATATAAAAGCAAATTTATCTTTTACGGAAACAGGAATCTTAAGCAACATGCAAACACAATGCTATTTGAAGAAACAAACACATACATTCTTTGATTTGAACTGTGCTCCAGAGAAAAAGGAGGAAGGGTAGAAACACACAGATACATTCATTTGCTGCACAGTAGCGTATTGTTTGGCTGTGTTACTACAACGTCTTCTAATGGAACAAAATGAAAACAAGTGGAGCTGCTAATATTTTAGAAGGCATATAACTAGGGTCCTTCCCTTCTAGGTGGTACCAAAATGTGGTACCACATCCAGGGAGACAGATACAGTGGCAGCATCAAGGCAGACTGTGGTAAGAATGCAAGTGGCAAATGCCATGAAAAGCATGTCCTTATCATTCACGTTAATGAGGCATATTCTCATCAACCTGGTGGCTCTACCCTTTCTTTCTCCCCCTTTGATTCCACTTACAGTTGACAATATCCTGAAAAAAATGTACCTCTTAACAAAGAGCCATGCTACACGGTTCTGAGATAGACAGAATTTCAGTGGCATTAATACCATTATTATTATAACACTAAGTAACAATATTTTAAATTCATTTACATACTTTACTACTAGCCAAATGTAAGGGTGTATTCAAGTCCTTATCCTTTATAGTCAGATCAGCCTGGGCACTGTTCACCAAAATATCTACAGAAAAAGCCAAAAAGAAGATTAGACTAGATGCTAATCACATACATAAATGAAGAAGTTACTACAAAAACTATAACATTTAAATTAGTACAGCTCACATAATCATATTTATTGTTTTCAAAGGAAAGGAGCAATTTATTGCCATATTTATTCTATCCAAATCTAAGGTTGACAGCCATTAATTTTAATTGCTTTTATAGTTCATTATTTCCAGTTAAAATGATTGTGTTGTTATATTTGGTTTGTAAACATCGTGAAATTTCACTGCGGAAAGGTTAGCTTCCTTACACACTCCACCAATAATTAAGTAACAGAGAACTGCACATGACTGAGCCGGAAGTGGCTTAAGTAATACTGTTAGTGGCCCTTGTTCACATGTATACTAAGAGAGTATCTGATTTCCTGATGTTACATTATTTTGGTTTTTGGATAGGCATAAATGTGAAGTCCATGAAACAAATACACACCCACGGCGCCTGCCTGCCCATTCTCAGCGGCCATCATCAGTGCTGTTTTCCCTGAATTGTCTACCGCGTTCACTTGAGCATTATGTCTCAAAAGAAGCTGCAAGCACTCCACGTGATCAGCAAACGCTGCCGCATGAAGGGGTGTCCTAAAGATTTAAAACAAATACGATTTTAGTTTCCTTTAAACTGACCCCCTCTTTAGTAATTGCCCAATAAACATGTGCATGATGTTGTCTTAAGGATTTACAACTTCTCAGTTTAGAGAGATAATGATTAAGCCCCCTGGAAGGCCATTCCAGGTGGACAATGAAGTGTCAACTATGTGAACGGCACCCCCTAGATTTGGGGGTGTATGTTGTGGCTCTGATAATGAAATTAGCATCTTTACTGACCCTTTAATCTTAAGTTCCAGTGACTTCACTTTAATCTTTGAGATACTTTCAAAATTAAGCTTTAAATTGTTAGGTAATTGTTCTGATTAAATAAAAATTTTAAAAGCCCGCATCATCTAAATGTGGACGGTTGATTTCTTTCAGAGGATAACTTGCCATTATTTATCAAAATTAAAAACTATCAACCCTTTAACCAAGTAATTCCACTTTTAGGACTTTATCGTTCAGCTACACTTGGTTGGTCATGTGTACAGACAGACACATATGAAAATGTTCACTGCACCACTCTTTGAAACAACAAAATATTGGAAATAACCTCAATGTTCTTCAATAGAGGCAGGCTGAGTAAATTATGGTACATTCAGCTTTAAGAACGATATGGTAAATCCGTATGTTTTGGTATGGAAAGACCGCCAAGATATACTCAAAGCAGAGCACTGTTATAGAATGCTCCCATTTGCACAAAAAGAACGTGTATGTATATGTGTATGTATATATACACACACATTTGTAGATATGTACAGAAAACGTTTAGGAGAATACAAAAATTTGGAAATAACATTGTCCAGTAGCTTTCTCTGTGGAAAAGGCTAGGGATTCTGAGCTCAGAGGGAAAACTGCTTTTAACTATATACCCTCTGTAATATTTAATTTTTAAAACCATGTTTATGTATCACTCTTTCAATTAAAAAAAAAAATAGGTGTTTGGCTGCTCTGCAGCCACAAGGCAGAAAGTAAGATTCATCAAGATAAAAACATGCCACGTTAGGATCACTTACCTGCCTTTGTCATCTCTACAACTGACAATACTGGAATCTATGGCCCCAAGTAGCAAGGATGCACAATTTTCATGATCATTTATTCTAAAATAAAAATGGATTTTAATGTGAAAATCTTGCTTTAAAAAAATTTATATCCTCTTCTACCCCATCTTCCTATGCACTGTGTATTTAACAATCTGGTGATGCATTTTTAAAAATCTGATCCAAATATCTGTGGTATATGCCTTCAATGGCCTACACTCTATAACCCCTATACAACCAGGCAGGAGTTTATTGTACACCACTATACTCAGCACCATATTTGGTGTTTTGGAGATATCCAGGCATAATTACTTCAGATTTAAAATTACTGACTCTTCATCACTTGCATTTTCTTTATTGATCTATTTTATGCCTACAATATCCTTCCAATCAAATCACCCAGCTTCATGTGAAGCCCAGAGACAATGCAGAGATAGCATCCTCAGGTCTAGGGCCCTAGGCTGACCATGGATGCCCAGTGGAACACAGACCCCCAGTCTGTGATTTAAAGTCACTATCCTCGGACAATGGCTCACACTGTGAGGCTGGAGCAAAAATTACATTTACTATAAAAGGACTTACAATATATGAAAAATGGAGAATTACAATACATGAAAAGTCTTTCTGGCATAAAATATCTTTCTAACCATCCCTGGGCATATTGTTGTTAACCCTTACTTATTTTTAGAATTTGGCAGACAAATGTGAGTTACACTGTAAGATTTCTTCATGTCATGCAGGATGTGCCCCTCAGCCCACCCCTTCATGCAGTTTTTACATGCATATGGCATGTGAGCACTCCAAAAAAAGCTCCTGGAAAATTGTTAACATTAGGGACCACACTTTGCTATCAGACCTATTTGTCTTTAGCAGCAAAATGGAATATTTTTCTCTTATCTGTAATCTAAAAGCTTTTTCCTTTCCTAAAAGGTAATTTCTCTATGTGTAGTTAAAAGAATTAAAGTAATGCCATTAACTTCCAGCATTTCTACTTACATTGCACAGTGCAGTGGAGTAAAAGGATTACCAATAAATTTGCGAAAACATTTTTGCTCCAAAAGTACCTCTATACAGTTTTCGTTACCTGGAAGGAATCAAAAGAATTTAAAGTTTCCAAGAAAGAAACTCATTAACACAATCTGTTTTTTTCATTAAGTACTGAATTCTGGCTTATGAATTTTCCTGAATTAGCTGAATATTCACTCTTCATGGAATAAAATTAACAAAACGCCAAAATGTTATTAACTGTGTTTGCAGGTGTTCTGAGACATAATGAACAAATAAAATTGTGAAGGCCATATGGTCTGGTGGAGAGAGAGAGATAAGATACCTCATTTGTAAGCACAATAGATTCTATGTTACTTTCAGCTCTTGAAAGATAGATGCCTAACATAGGCACTCCTCAATTTGCCCATATTTATAACAGGAAATTTACCTTTCACCCACATGAATAGGTTTACCTACAGTTATACAGTCAAGTGAAGGGGAGAAGATATGATTAGTAGAAAACAGTACTTGAGATAAGGCATTGGAAAAGGCTTTGACTGTAAAATACAATGTAAACATTTTAAATGGCACCAAGAACAGTTCCTGGTACATCATGTGCACACAACAAATATTTTTTAAATAAGTAGATAAATTAATGTGAAAAATTATTTTCAACAAAATGACAGTTTCCAAATCAACTAAATTTGAGTTACGTAAGGTTGTAGCTGTCAGTTCACTTACGTGATGGAAAGGTGGTCTTACTAATAACCTACCATCGGAAAATAAACTATCAAACAGAAAGTAAGGGAAATAAATGCAAACACATAATTGCTCCCTTTGCAGAGAAAACTCACAACACAACTACCCGCTTTGTTTTGTTTAACTAAAACACCTGTGACCTAACTCCCGATCCCTAAGAGTTTCGTTTTCGTAGCCTTCAAAAGCCCTAAGTGGATGATGGTAGGGGTACGAACTCCCCGCTCCAACCCTCTGCCTCAGTTCTTGCGAGAAATACATTTCAAGGACTCAAATAAGCTGGCTTCACAGAGAAAAGGAAAAAAAAAAAAAAAGAAAACAGAAAAAGCAAACACCACTACTCCCACTGCATAGCTGCTCCTGTTATCAGCCTGTTAAAACAGAGAGAGAGAAAAAAGCCATCCTTACCCTTTGAAACCACCCAGCCACTTTTCCTCAACTGCCCAGTGCTTGCTTTCTCCCTCTGTGTGCTGTAGTCATTCCCTCCTTCTCTCTCTTTCTCTCTTTCTTTCTCCAGAAAGAAAAATAAGCTTTCTTTCCTAAAACTATTCTACTCCTGATGTGAGAATTCTTTCTCTAACCAGCTGAGAGCACCTAGTAAATTTCACATCCTAACAGTGACCTAAGGCAATTTACTTTCTCTGAGCCTCAATTTTCCCACATACATAAAATCAGACTAGGAATACCTGTCCTATTTGTGTCACTGGATGGTGGGAACTTTACTCTATAAAGAATCTCAATGTGGTTCTTGAAGTGATATATATCCTGCTGAGTACAGTACTTACCAGTTTGAGTGTCTGGTATTGTCTCCTAGGGAAAAAGTTGATTGTCCCCAGCCTTACTAAGCTTTCCCTCATTACGAACCTCCTAAAAAAGCTCTCTGTGTTTCCCAATTACAAGGTGGGGAGGTGTTGCTATTTGTCTTTGGAATACAGATTGCCCTGAAACCTCTTCTTGGCTGAACTCAGTGCTAAATTAGTGAAAGTTCCCTTATGATCTACTTCAGAATGATGTAGCTTGGACAATATGAAGTATTAAAATACAAATCAAGCTTTTCTTGAACCTAAAAAGAGAAAAGGTGATACTGATTTTAGGAGGATTAAAAAGTATATAAAGTAACAAACATAAAAATCCCCTAGCTTTAGGCAAGTTATACTGTTTAGCTTTCCAGCGGCATCCCTTTCTCACTCAAATAGTCCCAGACACCTCAACTCCTCTGTTAGTAAGAATCTTTGGGGGCAAAGACCTAGCTTAGGGTAGCACCTACACATACCATCCCTGAGGTGGGGACTATATGAATCCCAACCTAAGAGTCTGTGGAGGTAGGACTAGAGATTATTGAACTACTTCCACTATTTCAAATGCCCAGTGAAGGGAATTCTGGCAAGATGGGAGCTTGAACATCAGACCTGGAGGAAGGCTATATTGAAAGGGCGAATTGCTTAGGAGAGGGCTGTTCCTTCCCTCCTGCTTGCACCTGGAGAGGCCTCAGAACAGAAAGATCTCCCACCCCAACCCTGGGGAGAGGATGTGGTTTGCTGCCTGCCATCATAATTAGCACTCTTTCTTGCTACCTCTGTCCCTGTTTGCAGGTTCTCCAGTGCCAGGGAGGTCCCACAGCTTGACCCAAATGTGGGCTAGGGAACCTTCATCCATTAGTGGGTTAAAAAAAAAAAAGAAAAAGAAAAAGAAAAAAAGATCCTCCAATGATAGAGATGGAACAAAACCAAACTGAAGAAGCAAAAAATGTGGCTCTTATTGAGGCAAAACGAATAATAATAATAAAAAAGGACTAAAAAGAAAACATGAGGGGTCTTAAATCAATACAATTAGAGAACACAAACTGGAGCCCATTCTTCTAACTAAAGTATCACAAGAATGTAAAAACAAACACCACATGTACTCACCATTAAATTGGAACTAATAGATCAACGCTTATGTGCACATATGGAAATAACATTCATCAGAAATCAAGCAGGTGGAAGAGGAAAGATGGGGTGAGTAAATTCACACCTAATGGGTACAATACACACTATCTGGGTGATGGGCACACTTATAACTTTGTCTCATATGGTACAAAAACAATTTATGTAACCAAAACATCTGTACCCCATAATATTCTGAAATTTTTAAAAAAGAGCACTCACAAACACAAAAAAACACTTTCTGGAACTAATAGTCACAATTTCTACATTAAAATATTAATAGAAGAATTGAAAACAAAAATTAAATTATAGAAGCAAAGTAAGAAATACATGGGACACTATTCAGATAAATCTTAGGGGTAGGAGACCTTTTTAAGCAAGATGGAAAACCTAGATACCATAAAAAAAATATCTGACAGACTCAACTACATAAAAGCAAAAACTCTCTGCATGAAAAATGACACCATATACAAAGAACAAAAACATTTGCAAGACACATAACACACAGAGGATTCATATCACTAAGACAAGGTGCTCCTACAAACAGATTAGAAAAGATAACTCAATAGAAAAAAAAAAGTGAACAGTGGATGGAAAAGGTAGTTTCCAGAACAAGAAACACAAATAGCCAATAAATATGCTATTAGATAGAGAAATGCAAATTAAAACAATGAGATATCTTTTTTTTTTTTGCTTTTCAAATTGACGAAAATAAAAAGGTGACTTCCTGGGCTAGCAAGAGTGTGGGAAAATATAACTTTTATTTGGTAGAGCAATAAATTATGATATCCTTGTTGCAAAGTAATATGGTATAATTTATTGAAATTAAAAAATACGCATGCCTTCTTACTCGGTAGTTTCACTTCCAGGAACTTATTCTGACAGAATTTATGGTACCGTAAAGGAGACACATTCTGCTACATTGTTCGTAACGGGAAAAAACCTGCAAACAATCTGAATATCCATCAGTGGGGATATGGTTGAATAAATAATAAATTCTGGTGTGTTTATAGTTATGAAATAATATACGACTATTAAAAGCTTAATCCATATTGATACATATTCACTTGTAAGGATATTTGCAATAACATTAAGTATAAACACCAATAAAAAAGGTTATGGCATGATATCTGTTCTATGATTCCAGTTTAAAAAATAGATGCACATTCATTTGTACTTATATTCTCAAAGGAAAAATTATGAAAGATACATATCAATAATATTAGAAAGTTGGTTTGGAAATGGAAACAATTTTTTACTTTAGACACCAATATTTTTGAACTGGTACAATTAGAATGCATTTCCATTTTAATCAAATAAGTGAAATAAAACTTTTTAAGTCTCCCAAATAACAAGTACAACAAAATAAATGGGGAATATGAAATATAAAAAAGAAATGCCAATGGGGGTGGATAACAGGTGTAAAAATATAGTTAGATAGAATGAACAGTATGTGATAGCACAACACAGTGACTATAATCAATAATAAGTTAGGGTATACTTTAAAATCACTAAAAGAGTAGAATTGGAATGTTCCTAACACAAAGAAACGATAAACGCCTGAGGTGATGGATACTCCAATGACCCTGATTTGATTAATACACATTGTGTGCCTGTATCAAACATCACATGTACCCTACAAAGATATGTAACTATTATGTACTCATAATAATTAAAAATGCCAAAAGATAATCCATTTACTAGAAATCAATTGTGACAGATCATGAAATCTTTTTTTATGTTGTTTTTAGCTATATTATTTTAATTCCTTGCGAGATCCCTGGTTATCTTATGCAGCTCAGAAACCCTGATTAAAGCTGGTTATTTAAGCTCATCAGAAGTTCTGATTAGGAGTTACATGTTACTGATTAACAAGAAGGGGAAAGTGAACTTTTACTCAATGAAGACATCATAGCAGTCATGGAAAGGGGACTAGAGAAACAAACAAAAAACAAAAATAAAAACAAAGTCTCTTGGGTGCAGAAAGATGGAAATTATGGTTTACAGCATTATGCTATGTTTTCACCTCCATTGAGGTCACAGAGGTCCCAGGGTAGGAAGTCTAGTGGAATCAGTCAAATGGCAGGCAACTCACCATTGTAACAAGCCCAGTGCAGGGGTGTGTAGCCTTGGTTATCTTTGAAGCAACAGTCCTCCTCGGAAAGAGCCATCTGAAGCAGCTCGCTCAGCCACGTGGCATGGCCACGAGCGGCTGCGTAGTGCAAGGGCGTCCTCCCTCTGGAATCTTTACAGAGAATGGACACTTCTTGTTCCAGCAGCATTTGCACACATTCCTCGTGTCCTGTCATAATCTGATGCATTGCAATTAAAAACACAAAACAAACCTCAGAAGACTCAGGAAGAAAAGTGGTTGGCTAAATGAGGCTGGTCTCAGAGTAAGTAGACAGACACCTGGGCCTTAAGGAAATCAGACTGTGCCCTACTTCAAGGGCAGGAGGCAGGACAACCCCAGCACAATTCATAACAGAAAAGTCAGTGAACACCAGCATTTTGGAACCATCTGTTGATTCTCCAAACATAACCATGAAGAGAACAGTGGTAAACATCAGCCTTAGGAGGACATGAGTTAAATCCTGGCTCCCCCTTGGCAGGTCGATCAGCCTCTCTGTGCCTCACTTTATTTACCTGTAAATAGGAATAGTAATAATGACCCGACATATTGTGAGGACTAAGAGATATATGCAAAACCTGCCAGCCTGTTGCACAATCCAGAAGAAGTGCAAAAAATAAGAACCAAGAAATAAGAACTATGATTATGGCACTGATCACATAGAGTCCCTCTTCTTTTCATTTATCAGGGTGTTTGGCACCATCCCCAAAGAGCAATTTTATGATTTCTGCTTTTGTTCATTTCTTTTATTTGACATGTTTTAAAAAACAATTCAGCAGATGTGTGCAAAAATTGTCCACTGGATAGATATTTTGGCATCATTTTTAATAAAGAACAATTAGAAATAGAAGGACTACTCAAAACCAGGTAAACATTGAAATAAATTAAGGTGCCTGAACACAAAGGAGCATTAAAAATGATGGTGCAGAAAAAGGTGACATAAAAGAGCCCTTGATTTACTAAGAGAACAAAAGCAGATTCCAAATAATATCTTCTGTATTCTTTTTAAAATTTAAAACAAATCTCCATACAGAAAAAAAAAAAAAGATTGGAGATATATATACACTCCAAAAATTGGTTATCTCCAGGAGGTCTGATTATCAGTGATTGCGATTTTCTTCTCTTTGCTCCTAAAAAATTATTTTGCAAATTTTATATCATGTGCATTCATTTTGTAATCAGAAAGCAGAACCAATTCCGCCAACAGTAGGTGTTCATGTATCTATTTATCTATAATCTAACATGAAATCTTAAGAGCAAGACCTGAGAGTATCTTCCATTATTTTGCCTTTGTAAAAGACTTTGTAATTTCTTTCTGACTGACTGAGGTTAATTGGTTATGTTAGGAAACAACATTTACACAAAAAAATTCTATGGGGAAAAAAAGACGAAACAAACTCATTGAAAAATTGTTTGACTAAAACTGAGAAAGATATACATACCCCTCTGTGTAACGCTGTGCATCCTAGGATATCAACAGCATCTACATTTGCTTCCTTTTCAAGTAACAATGAAACAGCATCAATATGTCCATATGCTACTGCAAGCATCAGTGGGGTTCTAGGGAGAGAGATAAAGTAGGCTTTTAAAAATGAGATTAAAAAAATACCACTTCCAGTGGGAGGATCTCTCTCTTTCTCTCTCTCTCTCCTTGACAACTGCTTAATATTTTCTGAGTGTCCCCAATTTGCTATATGCTACATGGAACAGGCCATCTGCCTCTGTTCTAATGGCCACATGGAATGGTGTCAGTAAAATTATTCCTAGGGATGAGGCAGGGAAGGTTCTTTTTCAAAATATTCATGTTAATCCCATCATTTTCAGCACTATGTCACATTTACTAAATATCAATTGGGTAGGGAGTGTGTGTATGTAGAAGACCCTCTTGCTTCTATCAGAGCAGCTCTACTTTCTTGGTATTCTATGGTGTACTTCTGCTCAAGATTTCATTTAAACAAAGCTTCTCTCCCTGAAGAAAAGTCTGACAAATGTAGGGGGAAGAATAGAGTACCAGGATCTGGGAAGTGAGGTTCTGACTATGGCACCAATTTACACGCCTAAGGGTAGTCACTAGTCACTAGTGCTGTTTTGCTCTTCATTTTCTATTTTTAAGAGAAGACCAGCTGGGGAATGAGCCAACAGATGGAAATTTCTTTGAGAAAACAAACTAAGGAAGAATAAAAATCTGAAGGAATTTAATAATGGAGATAATCTCTTGAGGTCTATCTTACTGCGATTGTTAATTAAAACATGGGAAGTAGCAGCTTCAGAAGAGGGTAAAAATAGGTGGAAAGAGGGAACAAAGGAGGGAATATTAAAAAGAGCCAGGAAACATGGCCACAGCCCCCAAAGGGTGATCTTTTTCATCAAGATGTGCATATATACACCTGCCTGCTGCAGTCCATAGACCACCCGGATGGCTAAATAGTAGAAAGGAGAGCTTTATTGGTGATATCAATTTGCAAACTGGGAAGAGACAGTTTCCAGCAGAAAGTGCTCTCTCTTTGAAGGGGGAAAAGGCAGGTTGGGTTTTTTATGCCTCACAGGGCCCATATTACCCAACAGAGTCATATATATTCAGCAGGTTTGGGAGAAAAAGCTATACATATTTACGAGGGGAGCTGAACTCACGCACAATGGGTAAACGTATACGTAACATACATCCATGTTCACTTTGGGGCAGGGTTTTAGCATTAAAATGAGGTGGAATTTGGCTCTTTACATCAAAAGATAAATGACAGGACACAAGATAGTTTGTGAACAGTCTCTATACGTTGGCTGAAACCGGCTTAAGGTTTGCAGTTGCTTATCAGAAAAGAATATTTATAAGCCCAGTCTTATGTGAGATCAGAGTTGTAGTAAATCAGAGTTAGGAGGGTCTGATAATTTGCCTGATAGTTCCTATTGTTAGGGTATTTGGTAAAAGCATGGTTTTTCTTGTAGCTGGAAGTTCCCATGTCAGCTGAGCCCTGAAACTTCCCTGCCAGTAGGCAAATTTTGTTTCTTTATCTTTAGGGTCCATCTATGTTGATAAAGGGACATCTATTTTGGTCTCTCAGATAACAATACTTTTCTTGGATATACATACTCTAGCATAAAGTCACTTCGTTTCTCTAGGGCCCTCACCCATGAATTTCACCCAAATATATTCCCCAGCCTCTGGGTTCAGCAGTCAGCTCTTTTAGCTACTTATCCAACCAACCAGTCACCTGTCATGACTGATATGTTAACCCAAGGCCAAGCGTGAGAACACTTACTGTCCTTTGGCATCTTTCACATCCACCACTTCTGGGTTGTCTGCAATTTCTAGTAACAGCCGCAAACACAGTGTGTGACCATTAATTACTGAAAAAGAAAACGATGGAGGGTCTTTTAACAGAACAGCACTACATATATCCCTCCAAAGTGAAATTTACTTGGACTTCAAATCAGTGGTTTTCTTTTTTTTTTTTTTTTTTTTATTTCGGCATATTATGGGGAAATCAGTGGTTTTCTTGTTGCTGATGGATACGCCTTGGTTTCTAGCTCATGACTGCCTCAGGGCACAGCATGCTGCCTGTTAATCTGTCTTTCCTTTCTTCCAGTCAGCTCGCTCTGATCCTCACCTTCCTTTTCTGGCTGTCATGTTGAGGGAGCTCCTCCCTTAAACTTGTTGTCTGGGTCTTATCTCCTTGCATGGGACTGATAATCACAGTTCTTTTTGTCCCTCTGGTAGAGTCACCCAATTCAATAGAATCATCCTGTCCCTACCCTACCTACAGCCATTTTAAAAAGAAGGGAATGAAGGGAGAAGAGGGGAGGAGGGAGAGGGGAAGAAGGAAAGGGAGTAGAGGACAGGGCTGCCTCTTCTTCTGGGTCATTTTACACTGAAGTAGACATTCCAGCAATAGTTCTGATTGATTAGTGGTGGCTGAAAGCAAGACCTCAAGCCAGTAAGGTGTACATGATCCATGAGGATGGGCTGGCGCTCTCAGGAGACACGGATGGGCTCGCTGTGGCTGGAGGACACCTTTGTCCTGTGCTCCTCAAACCACAGCTGGTTGTTTCTGTGTCTTCCAGTGTCACGAGCAAGCTGCAGCTGGCCCTCCTGTTCCCTCCCCTCCTCGTCCTCCCCTCCCCGCCCTGCTCTGACTCCGCTCTGCAGACCCAGACAGGAAATTCAGCCCCACCTCCAACAGCTGGGGTGGGAGCATAGGGACTTGCCCTTGTGCGCACCTGGCAAGATGCTTCTTTTAGGAGGTTGTGGTCCCTTGGGGGCTGGGAAGCAAACCTCCTGTGAAGATAATCCCCTGGGCTAAGGTACTTTGCTCCAGCTTGTTGAATGGAAACCAGAGCCTTACAATAGACACAGCTTTCCACTCCGGGTGTAAGCCAAGAATATATACTGTTAAAATTCCAAACGTGACCTTCTCTCTTCTCTGAACAATGTGAACACTATAAAATAAATTGCATTTGCCACATTATAGATATGGAGAGAGAAGGGAATAGATGCAGCTATGTTAGGTTGATAAAGGCTCTTTGAAGAGCTGAGTTTTATAGTCCTTTTTATTGCTTGCCAGTCATGAGAGAATGCTAATTTAGCAATGACACATTTCTCTGGAACAATAAATACTTATTAGAATTAGCTCACATACATCAATACTACTCAGATGAACTATGGAATAACACCCACATTGTGTAGACTTCTGTGTTCAGCTCATTCTCAGCAATATTCCATTTATGTATCTCAGGAGGAAATTTTGTAGATTGGAGTACAGGTAATCTATTGTTGCTGCCGTTGTTTGTTTTTTGTTCTTAAAATGACACTAAATCTGTTACCACTGGGGAAATATGCAAGAAGTTTAATGTATGCCTAATAGGAAGTGATTAGCAAAGGACTGACAGGTACATACTACAGGCAACAGGAAAAACAGCATATTTTGACTCGTTCTCCTGTCTATAACAATTTGATATTCTTTGAATTGTCACAATCATAATAGCATGAACAATTTTGATTTTTGGCTAAACATAAGAAAAAAATCATCTAAGTTTATATCATTCACCCAGTGTGTTGGACAGCAAAACAATTTCTAGAGTTGTGGGCTTTTTTTGTATAATAGCTTTTTGAACTTAGCTAATAGCCCTCAGGTAAATTTAAGTCCCCTTTATTGTAAAAGTATAGCCAAACTTAAATTTTTGTTGGCTTCCCACACACTACATTTTTCCCCCCGATTTGCCTTCTAGCAAAAAGATGCTAACATCTTTAGCTGTGGCTGCCAAGTCCAGCTTTGTCTCAGACTAGCTCAGCCTCTCCCTGCCTGTGAGTGACAGCCATTTTTCATGCTGCTCAAAGACTACAACTGTCACTGAAACTATCTCTGCCAAAACCTCTAATAATCATCCTGGCTCCTGCTTCTCACAATATTCCAAGGATTTAAAACAAAATAATTGACCTCTCAAGTGAATAGAAAAATATTCTGGATAAGCAGACCCTCAAAGCACAGGCTAGAGCTTCCACACAGCAGACATTTTGTGGAGAACATTCAAGTGACAGTCTGAGTCTTTTTTAATGAATGACATGATGCAAATCCAAACAGAGTGAGTCTTCTTGACCACTAGGGGGCTTCATTGGACCACAACCTATAGCACAGTGGCAAATAGTGACAATGATTGTTCTTCATTGTTTACTGGTTTAGTAGGATGATTTTCTACAATCAAAATAGGCCCTTTGTAATGGTCAGGAATTATATGATAACTTAAGTAGAATGCTTGCCTTAATAAGAGATAGCTAAATTTTAAAAATGGAGAACAAAATTTGAACTTTATACCAAGAATGCCTAGGGAGCAAAAAGACTAAATATGATGGGAAATAAGAATTTATAATTGAAGCATACTAACTGTTACCAAACTCATGGCTGAAGTTTTTTACAGCAACAATCATTTCCAGGTAATTAGGCAAGAATTGGGTTTTTTCAATCTCCGTATTATTTTTCTTCAGTGGCTTGGAAGTTCAGGGATGTAGATAGAAACACTTATACAAGATCTATGATGCCAAGAAAACTTTCCCCAGTAACCAGAATCATAAAGGCTTTTGACAAAGTTATTTTCACTTCTTTGCTTCTTCAGTACACTCATTTCATCATGTAAGACAGTTATTTCTCTTTATCAGATGGTTATTTATTACTCTGATCAAACGCTGGTATCATTGGATTTCCTGAGTCCAAAGGTATTTATCTTTTAGCTGAGCTAGGGACTCTTCCACATTACTTTATATCTGACACTACATCTAGAAGAGTCTGAACACAGTTTTTCACATGCATGGGAGAAAAATCCCAAAAAAGGCAAATTAGTTACTTTTTTAAAAATATATATATAAACTTTTAAGAGTCTTTATTGTTACATTTGATGCATCAAGAATCAGAAGGACAGCTAAGCAGCATCATTTAGGCTGTTAGAATGAGGCACTTATTAGATTCCTGTTTGACAACTTATATGAAATGATCCTGAAATAGCATTAATTTTATGCTTTAAAATGCTGTTTAATTTTGATGTGTTTTGTTCTATGTAACTTATTCTGAAGATTGCATTATATCTTGCCCTTTGTTCAGAAAGTTTTGTGCTAGCTTTTGGCCAGTGGTTCTGAACTCTCTTTAGAGTTAAGAAAGCCAGAGTCTGCCTGACCAGAGAACACCCATCATCTCCAAGGAGACAGCAGGCCAAAAGCATTTTGGAGTGTGTAGGCACATCTGATGCAGAAAGAAAACTGATATTTTAAAAATTGAGATAAAAGAAGATGCTGTCATCCTTTTATTCAAACTTATGAGTGGGCCACCAAACTGTGGTCGCAATACCCTTGACAAGACCTACCTGAGGCATGCAGTGGGGTTCTTTTGGTTACATTGTCTTTCACAAAGATGGATGCGCCCTGATTGATAAGTGCTTCCACACATTCTGTGTGCCCCTTAAAAGCAGCCAGATCCAAAGCAGTGCGACCTTTCTCATCTCTGATATCCAGGTCCACCAGCGACTGCAGAAGGACTTCCAAGGCTTGATGGTGCCCATTGTAGGCCTGCAAAGAAGAAACCAATGACTTGCTCACTCACCTCTAATCCCAAGACAACACACAAACTCATGGATAGAGACCACTCCAAAGAGCACATCAGAAAAACACTTGGGATAATGATTGAAACACAGGCGACCTGGAGAGATAGACTGAAAAACTGTAATGCACAAACCTCACAGTTACATATACATTTATTCATATTCTCTTCTGTCACATAATTTGCTCCAAAGGCACTAAATGCATTAATGTATTCTTTTATCTATTGATCTAATAATCTAATACAGACTAGTAGCTAAATGAATTAATGTATTCTTATATCTGTCAGTTCAGTCCTAAACATACCGATGTAATCAGAATTTATTTTCAGGAGTCTTTTCTGTTAACAAACCTGGAGAAAAAAATTACTAAAAATATCGTGGACCTTGGGATTCAACAGAGCCATATCGATTTTCTGTTATAGCAAAACACTTCACTAATTTCTAACCATGGGACCTTAGGTGAATTTCTTAATTTCACTTAGAGTTTATATCGTCATCTATAAAATGAGAGCAAGAAAAGCTGCCTCCTGGGGTTGCTGTGAAGATGAAAAGAGATAAAATTGCACAGTCTTTGTATAATATCTTTTGTGTAGTGGATACTTCTTCTTTTCTTCTTTATTTCTTCCATCTATTATAATGAAAATACTGAAACTATTATGGAAATATGTTCCTCGGACCAGCACCAAGTTTAGATCTACTATGAGATCCTATGCTATGTCAAGATTAAGAGGCTTCATATCACTAAAAAACAAAAGTCTGAAGAATAATTTTTATTGAGTCTATAAGGTAAAAAATACATATATACATACCCACACACACCCTACCCCCATCATCCAGATAAAGGACATTGAAAACAAAGGAGAAAGGGGATAAGCTTATCTGGGGAAGATCTGGGTGGGAGAGGGAAGAAAAGAAATAGAAGAGGAAAAGCCCGACTGCAGTGTCTTCAGCAGCAAAGTCCCCCTCATATGTCACCTGCACTTTTTATTTTTCTACTGCAGCTATTAACTCAAGTCACAATTTATCAGAATAAAGGCTTAGCACAAAGGACTAATTTCCTTAATATACAAAGAGCTCTTAGAAACCATTTTCAAAACTAAGAAAATATGCAAAAGTCGGCTCACAGAAAAAGAAAAATAGAAGCTCATTAAGTATATGAAAAAATAGTAAATTTTTAAAGTACTATTTTTCAATGACCAGATAGGCAGTGATTAAAAAGTTTGGTCATGGCGACTATTAATTAAGACACTGTGGGGAAAAAAGCAATCTTATATTCTGTTGGGAGTATAAACTGATGTAATATTTGTGGAGGGTGATTTAACAAAATCTATCAAAATTTTTAAAAAGAGAAATTAAGTTGCAGAAAGTACGTATATTATGACCTCATTTACATAAAAAGCAAATATATGCACATATATACATACCTATAACTATATGTACATCTATAGTCATAGAAGAATTTTAGAAGGATACAAAAGAAACTATAAATGATGGTTTCCTTGAGAAATGAGAGGTGGAGTAATAAGCATATGGACTTATTTTAGCTTCTCTTTTAATATACAATTTGAATTTTTTTCTAAGTATATATTAACAACAACAATAACAGAAACTAGATTTAAAAGGATTCCTGGGAATTAAGATTACTGATAGATTTAAGAAAACTTTCTCATTACATTTTTTGGTAAATAATCATGGTTATTATGCTACATATTAAACATATTATATATAACATGTAGTATAACTTGTACTGATGAATCTCTAATTTATATTCCAGTCCCAACTTTTCCCTTGACTTCTAGACTTGTATATCCAACTACCTATTGATATTTCTACTTGAAGGTCTAATAGGCATCTCGAACCAAATTCTTAATTTCCCTCCCAAAACTTGGTCCATCTACAGCCTTTTCCACCTCAGTTAATGGCAACTTTACTCTTCTACTTTCTCAGGCCCCAAATGTTGGAGTCATCTTTGTCTTCCCTCTTCTTAAGTCCAGGGCTATTGCCCTGAATAAGGGCTCATCAACAATAGGGCACGTGGATGCTAAAATATAGTCCTCCCCCACCTTGCTCTGCCCTGGCACAGGGATGTGTCTGCTGAAAGGAAGAGGAGACCTTTGCTAACTCACACGGAGGTGTCATTAAGTTCTCAGGCATCCAGCAAGAATCTCTGTTCTCATTCACATGCAGGTGCTATGTGACCCACTCCAAAGGCATCATCATGTCATCTCATCTCTTTCTTTAAAATACCTCCAGAATCTATCCACTTCTCACTATACCACCATCCTGTTTTGCCAGGATTACACCAAATGTTCCCTTCTCATCCTTGTCCCCCTGCAATGTATTATTGACAGGGTTATGGAGTGAAATCTTTTAAACCCAAGTTGGATCATGTCACTCCTTGCTTAAAACTAGCCTATGGCTTCTTCCCTCAGTGATACCAAAAGTTTCCATGAACAACTGGGCCCCCAGGATCTGGCCTTCCACATGCCTTCACTCACTCTGTTCCAGCCACACCAGCTCCCAGCTCCCCTCTGCAGACAGATGCCCACATCTCCTCCTCTGGGCCCATTACATCAGTACCTTCTGCTTCCTGTGTCTGGAAAGCTCTTTCCTCAGAGAGCCACTGGCTCTCTTAGTACTTCTGCTCAAATATCATTCTATCAGGAAGGCATCCCAGAGCAGTCCATGTAGAATAGGGTCTACTCTCCGTCCCACTTATCCTGCTTCACTTTGTCTTCACAGCACTTATGACCACCCGATATCTGGTATGCGTCTATTGATTTGTTTATTGCCTGTGATTGAAGGGCCTTTATGTGGGCTGTTCACTGCTGTATCCTAGAATCATGCCTGAGGCACACAGTAGACACTCAGCAATTATTTGATGAACAAATGAATGAATATAGTGACTTGTATGTATTAGTAGTAGAAATATATGTTTAAAATAGCAATTATTTACTGAGGGCTTTTTATGTGCTAGGTATTATTTTGAACATGTTAGCATCTCATTTAATTATAGCAAAAATCCTTTCTTATAGATGAAAAAACTAAAACAAGCAACGTTAATTAACTTGTCTGAGATCACTCAGCTAGTAAAGTGACAAAGTCAGGATTTTGAATCCAGAATTGGTGACCGCTAAAACCCATGCTTTTAGGTACTGTCTTATAATTTTTTTTCCAGTAGTTCCATTTAACTGACTTTCAAATAAAATACTTTGTCTCTAGGTGGAATAGAGACAAAATAATGGAACAGAGTTGAATAACAAATGTTGACTCAGAAACCTAAATCTCTTCTATAGAAGGTTCAACACAGAGGTAAAGTGACTTGAGCAGAGCTATGAAGCAAGAAGGATACTTCTGAGACTAACCTCAGACTATTGCTCTTTTACTATACATACTGTCTTTCTGGAGATAGTAAATAAATTCCCAATAAAAATGTCTAACTTTCTGATCTATACTTGATATGCAAGCCTTCCTTAACTGCATAGGATACTAAGCCTTCATTCTAATCTAAATTCAGAAGCAGTAACTAACTTACCGAGCACTTGTTTGTGTCGGGCAGTATTGGACATGCATCACCTCCTTTGATTCACTCAACAAACTTTGGTTTGGATATTCTTGTTCACCCCGTTATACTGATAAGGTCACAGAGAGCAGAGAGGTTACCAAGCTCTCCCATGGGTACAGTTGTACGTAGAGGAGCTGGGTTTCAAAGGTGGACAAGGCTGATCCCAGAGCTTGAGCTGTGGGCTCTTTTTGAGTGAATATGGAAAGGGTCTAACATGGCCATAAGGTATATGTCTTCTAACCTTTCATTGTAGGAAATTTCAAACATTCACAAAGGAGAGTGGATGGTATGATGAATTTCCATATACATTTCATCCAATTTCTGCCATTATCAATGCAGGCCATGGGGGATTTTAAACCAACTCAGGAGCACCTTTCCTTGTGTAAAGGCTGTGGTAACAGCAGCATCAACATCAGGGTGTAAATCAGCCTATAGCTCCTTACTCTGGGCTTCTGTCTGCTGCTTAAACTTTCACTTAACTCGCCTAAGTTAAAGAGACTTAATATTAAAATGGAGTGAACACTGCTGGCAATTAGGAAAGCTTTAGAATTCTAACCCATACTTTCATCTATACCAGGCACTTGAAAACCCTGTTAAAGACAGAATGGTTGAAAGGCCAGATTTACCTACAGAATTCTCCTTGTTTCTTCCTTTTGTCTAGCTTGCACCTCTTGAATTTTACTATGTATAAAGTCAAGTTTCACTGAAGGTATCAATCAAATATTTTTATTTTTATTTTTTTAATATATATTTTTTGAGATAGAGTCTCACTTTGTTGCTTGGGCTAGAGTGCCATGGCATCAGCATAGCTCACAGCAACCTCAAACTCCTGGGCTCAAGTGATCCTTCTGCCTCAGACTTCCGAGTAGCTGGGACTACAGCCATGTGCCACCATGCCTGGCTAATTTTTTCTATATATTTTTAGTTGGCCCATTAATTTCTTTCTGTTTTTAGTAGAGATGAGGTCTTGTTCTTGCTCAGGCTGGTTTTGAGCTCCTGAGCTTGAGTGATCCACCCTCCTCGGCCTCCCAGAATGCTAGGATTACAGGTGAGAGCCACTGCACCCGGCCTCAATCAAATATTTTTAATTGTTTTAAGAGATACCTTTAAAAAATATCATTAGGTAACAAATATTTCTTAAATATTATTAATTTCTCCAAACCTTTAAAGAAAAGAACTAAGGACAACGAGGGGGAAAGAACTGGGATCTCAACAGAATCCATGAGAACAATGGATCCATCTGGAAATTTTGACAGCTGGAGCTTTTCATTTGCATAACATTGTTTCTTAATTTAATTTTTTTCAAGTGGATGAAATGCTTATGAAATTTACTGGGCTGATAACCCTGGAGACTTGAATCATTCAGCCAAGAAATAGTAACTCAAGGCAGGTCAGGTTTCTTGTGGCACTCAAGGTTTGGGGGCATCTAGTTCCATTTCACTGCTACAATGCTTCCACCTAAGAAATTATGTGCCTTGGGTTTTATTAAGTTAATTGCTACAGAGGCCCCTGGAGAGGCCCCCATACTTGTGGGATTCTGGAAGCAAATAATTTTTTTAAAGCACTAGCATTTAGAGGGAAAGGATAAAATAATTTTAGGAGAAATCCATTGCAATCACCTGGTCAAAGTCATCGAAATCATCTCTTGCCTGGTTTTGCTTTGTGTCTGCTTTTGTTCCCTCACAATTTAAACTCAACACAGAAACTAACATGATGCTTTTAAAACAAAAGTCATCTCATGCCACCTGTTTCCTCAAGACCCCCCTAAATGCTTTTCCTATTTTGCTCAGAGTAAGAGTCCTGGTGAGATCTGCATCCTCTATTTCCCCAGACTCCCCCCACACCACGACAGACCTCACCCGGACCACTCTCCCCTCACACTCTGCTCCAGCCACAGTAGCCTCTTTGCTGGTCTGTGGGCATACCAAGCACACTGTCACCTGGGGACTTTGTACTTCTGCCCAGAACACTCTTCTTTTAGATATCAACATGTGTAGCTCTTAAGGTTTCTGTTCCAATGTGGGATTCTGTAGTGTGTAAAATAGCACGCTGTCTGCCACCACAGCACTCTCTGTATTACTGATGCTGTTTCGGTTTCTCTGTAGCACTTGCAGCACGTACTGCCATCCGTCATGCTAAGTATTTACTTGCCTATTGTCCCTCCTAGATTGGAAACTCTACAGGGACAGAGGCCAGGCCTTGCTCACTGCAGTATCTCCAACTCCTGGAATAGTGCTTGGCATTATTCACAGTCTGTGTTGAATGAAAGAATATTACTGTTAATAATAATGACGATGACACTAGCTGATTGCAAATATGTGCCGAGTGCTATTCCAGTTGTGTTGCATGTATTAACTCATGCCATGACTACAAGGGCCCAGTGATGAGGCACTGATATTCTCCTTATATTACTGGCAGGAAAACCAAGACACGGAAGTTACGTACTTGGGCCAAGCTCACACAAAGAAACAAATAAATTAACAAACTGGAAAGGGTCTTTGGGATGCTTAACCAACTCACTCCCTTTCATTTACAGGTGGGAAAGCCATGTCCAGGTGATGAAAAGAGCAGCAGCTGGGACGGACCTCTTCTCTGTGTGCCTTTCCTAGGTGACGTCAGCTGCACAAGTACCAAAGCCCGACTCCTTCCAATGATATCACCGCCCTGTCTTTATACGACTAGAAACCCATAGAGCTTAGTAGAGCACACAGTAAGCACTCAACAAATAATTTTTGGAAAAAGCATGAGAGATGACACAATTTTTGGAAGCCAAGAAACTCTCTTCTCAGATTAGCGGCAGACTTGGTAACGCAGTCAACCCCACTTTCAAACGGCATGAGAACTGTGAGCTAACCCTCCACACAGGACTCTCTGGAGCAGGGGTCCTCAAAGTTTTTAAACAAGGGGACAGTTCACTGTCCCTCGGACTGTTGGAGGGCTGGACTATAGTTTAAAAAAAACTATGAACAAGGCCGGGCGTGGTGGCTCATTCCTGTAATCCTAGCACTCTGGGAGGCCGAGGAGGGCGGATTGCTCAAGTTCAGGAGTTCGAAACCAGCCTGAGCAAGAGCGAGACCCCGTCTCTACTATAAATAGAAAGAAATCAATTGGCCAACTAATATATATACAAAAAAAATTAGCCGGGCATGGTGGCGCATGCCTGTAGTCCCAGCTACTTGGGAGGCTGAGGCAGAAGGATTGCTTGAGCCCAGGAGTTTGAGGTTGCTGTGAGCTAGGCTGATGCCACGGCACTCACTCTAGCCTGGGCAACAAAGTGAGACTCTGTCTCAAAAAAAAAAACAAAAACAAAAACAAAACAAAACAAAAAAAAAACTATGAACAAATTCCTATGCACACTGGACATATCTTATTTTGAAGTAAAAAAACAAACGGGCAAAAACACCCGCATGTGGCCCATAGGCCGTAGTTTGAGGACGCCTGCTAGAGGCAGCCAGCGCTATGTTTGCGAGTTCCCAGCTTTGGGGTAAGTTCCCCAGTCACAGCAGATTCCAGCAAGCAACCTTTAGAGCAACCTGTAGTAAGAGCCAACTGGTATGAAGCTACATACCTATAAATATCCCAATATTCATCTACCTTTTCCACTAGAAGTCTACCTCCAGGAACAAAGATTGATGCACATTTTATTTAGCTTGATTTCACTAGACTCAAAATGCGTGTGTGTAGGTGTGGTGTGGTGGACGTGCTGGTGGGTATGTGGAGAGGGCGTGAGAGTGAGGTGTCAGCAGGTGTGCTGGTGAGTACGTGGGGACAGGGCAGTGAAGGGAGCGCCCCATGCCTATCATTGGTTCCGGCTACTCCCAATCCTTGTGCAATGGCCTTTTTCTTCCTCGCCTTGTCTGAAAACTGTATGCCTATTAATAAAACACTCCTCTCTTCTCTCTAAAATCTCCATCTAAATTTTTCATCAGAATAACAATGAAGCAGTGCTTACTTATTTATAACAATAGTTAAACATAGAGACCCAGCCCTTCCCATTCTTCCCAGCATCCTGCCCCCTGGGTTTTACTAAGCAAGGAAGCATCCAAACACCATCTTTCTGGCCATGAACTGAGTGCTCACAATTCAGCAGCACCTTGGGCAGGTGAGCTGGCTGTTGCTGTGTGTGGTTGTCAGGCACCCAGCTTCCTAGGGAGCAGCTGCTGATCGCCAACTGTTAGCAGGACACAATCTGAAGCAGAGTGGTGGGTGTGCTTCCCACCTTGGTCACCCCCATGAAGAGTTTGGGGAACATCACTCTGAGCTGTTGCATTTCCCTTCAATTACTGGGAGGTAGAGAGGAAGCTTTACTGGTGATAAACTCTTCTTCCCCTTTCTCCCACATCTCATCCGGCCTAAGACTCTGAGCCAAAGACCTCCTGGGAGACCCTGATTTCAAGTTCAGGCAGAAAGAGCACAATTGCAAGTTTGTGCTTAACAATCCTGATAGTTTTTAATTGTGGTTTTCAAAAATGTGATATTTGATTATCTGTAGGTTTAACATTTGTGTATTATTATTTATAATCAAACCTCTTAAACTGAAATGCTTTCTTTGAATTTTAAAGATTTTTAAAATGTATAACCATAATTTTTTAAGTACATTGTAGTAAGAACTTTTTCTGCATTATCTCTTATTTGTCAGGTAGGGAAACTGAGGCTCAAGACAGGGTAAGTCACATGTCTAAGGTCATCAGCCAGTGAAGCTGGGATTGGAGGGCAGGGCAGTCATTCTGCAGCCCGTGCCTTTCACTGTGTACTACTTTCATTATCACTAACCACTGGACAACAATGCTTACATTTTAAGAGCAGCCTAGTTTTAGGAACGCTTAGGTTCCCGCTGTAACAGGCAAAGCTGCCATGGCACCTTACTTACAGCTAAGTGGAGCGGACTCTTGATAGCACCGGAATCTGATTCTTCACAACCACTGTTGGTTCTTTCCAAAAGCTGTGGAGACAAAAGGAAAACAACAGTACATGAGTCCAATTTTGTCAAAGGAATCCTACTTTCTGGATACTAATGTTGGCATAAATGAGAAAGAAGACTTCAGAAACTTAAGAAACTATGCAGCTTATCAGCAACATAAAAAATATGATATGGCATATCTAAAACAAACATGCTAACCGAATATTTAAACTTCTAGATCATCCAGTATTTGCTATTCAAAAGAAAATAGAAAAATCCAGAACACTAATTCATGTTAAATCCATTTTTCACCCAATAAATTGGTAATAATGAAAAAAATCATAATACTCATTATTCCATTATTAAACATATATTTATTGGAAATAGTGTTGAAAAAGACAAAATTCCTGCTCTCACGGGGCTTACATTTTAGAAAAAGAAAGCATAGACAAATAAATACACAAATAAGAAAATATCTGGAAGTTATACATGCTACGATGAAAAAAAAATAGGGGGATGTGATATGGAGTGACCAAGAGGTTACTTTACAGCAGATGGTAAGGGAAGGCCTCTCCAAGGAGGTGGCATTTAAAGTAAATCCTAAATATTTAGGTTATTAAGTATGGAATGTCTGATTTCCTAAGTACTAAGTTTGATAGTTGAAATTTCTGACATTTCACTTTGACATTTGTTTTATTTTTAATGTGAAAGTACATCCTCATTCTTTCAAATGCACAGTTTGGCTTGTGATTAACTTTCAAATTGTTTTTTACAGCAAATTTTGTGAAACCAGAGATAAGTAAAAAATTCATGCTATTTTTTAATAAGTTTCCTTGTGCACCAGTGCTGCTCAGACAGCTCAAAACATCAACGATGTGTTTGGGAAGGATGTGGCTAATGGACGCAAAGTTGATGGTTTGAGAAGTTCCATTCTGGTGATTCTAATCTTGAAAATAAGCCATGTAGCCACCTGAGACCAAGGTGAATAATGATGAGCTGAAAGGGTAGTAGAAGTGAGTCCATCAGGGCCAAGCATGGTGGCTCATGCCTGTAATCCTAGCACTCTGGGAGGCCGAGGTGGGCGGATTGCTCGAGGTCAGGAGTTTGAAACCTGCCTGAGCAAAACCCCGTCTCTACTAAAAACAGAAAGAAATTAATTGACCAACTAAAAATATATATACAAAAATTAGCTGAGCATGGTGCCACATGCCTGTAGTCCCAGCTACTCGGGAGGCTGAGGCAGTAGGATCGCTTGAGCCCAGGAGATTGAGGTTGCTGTGAGCTAGGCTGATGCTATGGCACTCACTCTAGCCTGAGCAACAAAGTGAGACTCTGTCTCAAAAAAAAAAAAAAAAAAGAAGTGAATCCATCACAACCTATACGTCAATTAGCAGCAAGGTTTGACGTCACTATTCCAACAGTATTGGACCATTTGAAACAAACCAGCAAGGTAAAGTAGTTGGATAGATGGGTAGTACATGAATTAAACCAGCGTCAGAAGAAAAATCATCTCAAAGATTGCTTTTTTGCTAGAATTCTTATAGTTCCATGCTTTATGTTTAAGTCTGTTATACACCCTGAGTTGATTTTTGTGAGAGGTGAGAGGTGTGGATCCTGTTTTAGTCTTCTATATGTGGCTATCCAATTTTCCCAGCACCACTTATTGAATACGGTTTCTTTTCCCCAGTGTATGTTTTTGTCTGCTCTGTCAAAGGTTAGATGGCTACATGAGGATGGTTTTATATCTGGGTTCTCAGTTCTGTTCCATTGGTCTATGTCTCTGTTCTTGTGCCTATGTCTCTGTTCTTATACTATGCTGTTTTAGTTACTATAGCCTTGTAGTTTAGCTTGAAGTCTGGTAAACTGATGCCTCCCCATTTGTTCTTTTTGCTTAAGATTGCTTTTGCTATATGGGGTCTTCTTTGGTTCCATACAAAATGCAGGATTATTTTTGAGATATAAAAAATTAACTTTTGATTTGAAATTGGACATTTAATATTTAATTACCTAAATAATAATAATTAAATAAGATGTGGCAGGAGAGTATTCAAGGAGAAGGGAGTGGTCAATGAAATGCATCAAGTAGGGGATGAACATGGTGAGTTCAAAGAATGGAAAGGCCAGTGTGACCACAGCATGATGTTAGCAAATGACAGTCTCATGACTTTTTTTTGGAGTTCCAATAAAACTTTTTTTAAAAAAAACAGGTGGAACACTAGATTATAATTAGTCTACAGACTATAATTTGTTTTTCAAAATTTTTTTTTATTTTTAATTATTATGGGTACATAACAGCTATATATCTTTATTGGGTATATGTGACATTTTGATACAGGCATACCGTGTGCATTAATCAAATCAGGGTAATTGGGGTATCTATCACTTCAGGCATTTATGTAATGTCATTTCTTTGTGTTAGGTACATTCCAGTTCCACTCTTTTAGTTATTTTAAAGTATACCTTAATTTATTGTTGACCATAGTCACTTTGTTGTGCTATCAAATCTTGTTCATTCTATTTAACTATATTTTTGTACCCATTAACCATCCCTACTTTATCCCCCCTTCCCTACTACTCTTCCCAGCCTCTAGTGACCATTATTCTACTCTCTGTCTCCATGAGAGCAATTGTTTTTAATATTTAGCTCCCATGTATAAGTGAGAACATGCAAGATTTGTTTTGTGTGCTTGGTTTATTTCACTTAACATAATGTTCTCCAGTACAATCCAAGCTGTTGCAAATGGCAGGGTTTCATTCTTTTTTTGTGGCCATAGAATATTAATATATACATATTCCATTGTGTATATATACCATAATTTCTTTATTCATTCATCTGTTGATGGATGCTTAGGTTGGTTCCAAATCTTGGCTACTATAAATAGTGCTGCAATAAAGATGGAAGTGCAGATATCTTTTCAATATACTGAATTCCTCTCCTTTGGATATGTACCCAGCAGTGGGATTGCTGGGTCATATGGTAGTTCTATTTTCAGTTTTTTGAGGAATCTCCATACCATTCTCCATAGTGGTTGCACTAATTTACATTCTCACCAACAGTGTTCGAGGGTTCCCCTTTCTCCACATTTTTTCCTATTATTGCCTTTTTGATAAAAGCCATTTTAAATAGGGTGAGATGATATCTCACTACAGTTTTGATTTACATTTTTCTCTGATGACAATGATGTTGAGCATTTTTTCACATACCTTTTGGCCATTTGTATGTCTTCTTTTGACAAATGTCTATTCATATCCTTTGCCCATTTTTTAAACAAATTGTTTGATTTTTTTCCCTGAGTAGTTGGAGGTCCTTATATATTCTGGTTATTAATCCCTTGTCAGATGGGTAGTTTGCAAATATTTTCTCCCATTCTCTGTGTTGTCTCTTCACTTTGTCAATTATTTCCTTTGATGTGCAGAAGCTTTTTAGCACATGGGATCCCATTTGTCCAATTTTGCTTTGGTTGCCTGTGCTTTGAGGGGATTACTCAAGAAGTCCTTGCTCAGACCAATGTCCTAAAGCATTTCTTCAATGTTTTCTTTTAGTAGTTTCATAGTTTCTGGTCTTATATTTAAGTTTTAATCAATTTTGATTGATTTTTGTATAGGGTGAGAGATAGGGGTCTAGTTTCATTCTTCTGCATATGGATAGCCACTTTTCCTAGCACCATTTTTTGAAGAGACTGTCCTTTCTCCTCCATATGTGCTTGGCACCTTTGTCAAAGATAAGTTTGCTATAGATGTGCGGATTTATTTCTGGGCTCTCTATTCTGTTCCATTGGTCTATGTGTCTGTTTTTCTGCTAGTACCATGATGTTTTGGTCACTATAGCTCTAGTATATCACTATAGAACAATATGAAGTCAGGTAATGTGATTTCTCCAGTTTTGTCCTTTTTGCTCAGGATAGTTTTGGCTATTCTGGGTCTCTTGCGGTTCCATAGAAATTTTAGGGTTATTTTTTCTATTTCTGTGAAGAATGTCATTGGTATTTTGATGGGGATTACACGGAATCAGTAGATTGCTTTGGGTAGTATGGACAGTTTAAGCATATTGATTATTCCAAACCACAAGCATGGAATATCTTTCCATTTTTTTGTGTGTTCTTTTCAATTTATTTCATCAATGTTTTATAGTTTTCATTGTAGAGATCGTTCACTTCTTTGGTTAAGTTCATTCCCAGGCATTCTACTTGTAGCTATTGTAAATGGGATTTCTTTCTTGGTTTCTTTTTCAGATTGTTTATGATTGGCATATAGAAATGCTACTGATTTTTGTATGTTGATTTTGTATCCTGCAACTTACTAAATTTGCTTATCAGTTCTAATAGTTTTTTGTGGAGTCTTTAGGTTTCTCTAGACATAAGATGATATCATCTGCAAATAAGGAATTTCACATTTTCCCTTTGAATTTGGATGCCCTTTAATTTCTTTCTCTTGTCTGACTGAATAACAGTTATTCAACTGTTATGTAGAATAACAGTGGTGAAAGTGGACATTCTTGTCTTATTCCAGATCTTAGAGGAAAGGCTTTCAGTTTTTCCCCATTCAGTATAATAATAGCTGTGGGTCTGTCATACATGGCTTTTATCATGTTAAGTTCCTTCTATATCCAATTTTTTTAGAGTTTTTAATCATGAAGACATGTTGAATTTTATTGAATGCTTTTGCAGCATCAATTGAAATGATCAATGAAGGTTTTTGTCCTTCATTTTGTTGATATGATGTATCACATTGGTTGATTCGTGTGTGTTGAACCACCCTTGCATCCTTTGGATGAATCCCACTTGATCATGGTGAATAATCCTTTTGATGTGTTGCTGAATTTGATTTGCTAGTTATTTTGTTGAGGATTTTTTAATCTATGTTCATCAGAGATATTGGACTATAGTTTTCTTTTTATGTTGTGTCTTTGTCTGGTTTTGGTATCAGGTCAATACAGGCCTCATAGAATCTTATGGACTTTTGGTGGGAGAACAAATTGTTAAAACCTTTCCAGGAATTTTGTGCATACTTTTGACCCTAGGAATTAATTCCCAATGAATAAC